CCAAGAAGGGCCTGGGCTACTTTGCTCGTTACGCGCCCTGGCTTGAAAAGGAGTGGCAGAACGGAACGACCTGCAATTGTCGAACACTAACCAAGAGGTCAAGCCAACGCCTATCCTGTTGCCCATCAACATCTTGGAGGACTTCACAAAGCCGTCGGAAGCTCAGTCAGTTATATAATATTCTTAATTTTGACGAAGGAAGTCAGTGTACGCAGGAATCCTGATGAATCCCGTGCCATGTTACCTGATCGGCACCTGATCGGCTCCTTTTGCTGCTCTTGCAAACTCACCCCCGTCCTGTTTGCACTTCTGGGAAGCAGTGCGTCCCGCACCGACTGATAGATCATGATTGATCTACATCGTACTCCCTGCTTATCCCTCTTTTTCTATGTTTTTCTCCCAAGTCGACCTAGTTTGCAAAACTCTTATCTTGTCTGCTGGTCATCCGTGTTCCCTGTCACATTCATGACATCTACTCGCTGTGGCCTGCTAGCCGATGCACTTTCAAACCCCTTCAACCTGGTTTCAGTCGCTATAGTTGTGCGTCAAACGATCTGGCTCGATAACTCACTTCTGGTGCTCTTTGGACACTTGAAGTTCACACAAGGCTCTCCCTGAGCTTTCGACTCTTTGGAAACGTTGTTGCGGATGAGTTGACTGTCGGGGTCAGCATCTGAGAATCAAGTCACGAGGAGCAAAACAAAGCATATATCCTGACACTTTGTACTTTCAGGTGCTATGCTTTTTGGTGCCTTTTGTGATTCCTCTGCCAATTATGGGACTTGGCCTCTTTGCAGGCGAAACAAGCTGCATGGTTTAGAAGCATGTTGGTAGAGTACTGAGCATGAGGTGGACAGAGTAAAGAGAGGGTGACAATTCATTTTCATAATGAGAGTTTCCATCCAAGGGATTGATCATTCCATCCAAGCCTTCATGGATTTCAGGCTCAATCCAAGCATTGATCTTCTCCACCTTGGCTGCTGCGTACATCCATGAAGCTTTGGAGTGAGCTCACGAGCAAATGCGGCAACAGAACACACATAGGAACAGAACAGGTTGAAGTGGACTTCTCGAACGCTGTACATGGACCATGGACAGATGAGTGTCTTCATCCGTGTAAGTTTCAATAGTCCTATGAGTTGTTGAAGCTCAACTACACTTGAAGTGGAAGAGTTATCTCGATTCTCCAAGTGCCTGTCCGAGGCAGGGTGGTCTTCCAAATGGCACGTCCAATCACGAAGAGTTCGTGTGTTCATCATGATGTTGGATATTGGACTGGCCAAAGCAGGAAGCGCCGCAAGGGATGCTAGTGAAGCATTGATAAAAGGAGATATGTTTTACTTTCATGGATCCATTTAAAGCTTTGTGGTGCTGTCTGAACATGAGACAGATTGAGTGACACATTCGTCGGCCACAAAAATGTGTGGGCTTCTGGGACAGTCATGGTCTCTTGCAAAGCCACCACCAACAACAATACAACTGCCACCACCATTGCATCCAAAGGCACGCTTCGACTACACGGAACAGACACCCAGAATGCCAGCGCTTGTTCAATTTGACATAAAGATCCACTGTCAAACTTTTCCGAAGGCTGGAACACCTCCAATCCTTTTGCAATGGTAGAGTTTCTTGCTGATTCGTAACACTTGCATGACCAGCAGCGATGCGGTTGAGCAGATTTGTGTGACACTCAGTGAGCCCGCCGTGATCATGAAGTTTTGATGATTTGATGCCCTTCATGAACTTTTGTTTCCCGATTTGCTCTGCAAATGAGGCGCAAGCGCCGCCATCAGCTGAGGACATTTGTCTGGTAGCACTTGAACACGAACAAGTCATAACAAGTCCATATTCTCAACCCCCATGATGCCATTGCAAAACAATCTAGATTGAAGCGGAAGGTCCTGGCGAAGATTTGCTCATCTGGAGTGGAGGACATTCGTCGATTGAAGAATTTCTTTGCGAAGGCTACTGTGGCTACAAACCTGCTCAAGTCTCGCTTGGCCTTGCCCATTGCGTGCGCACGTATGTCTCACTTATTAGCGGGGTGCATGTCGGATATTTTCCTCTGATAGGTATCCTCTCAACGCAGCGATGATGCGAGAAGACAACAAAAACGCTCCACTGCGGCCAAGCGAGCACATGAAGGCTGAATAGCCGACCCTTGCCGTGTTTTCTTTTGCTTGCTGCTGCAAGGACAAGGTTAACGCCCTCAATAGCGACGAATGGAAGCTGAGACAGCAGGGACTGGCCCAGGTAATGCCCATTGTGGAAGGTATGTCTAAGGCGCGGGGTGACACCGGGTGACGTTTTGTTTTTTCTTGCAATCTGTATTTTTAAAGCCCGAGGGGGGGTAGGCCGCTAGAAGACTGTACATTACGAGAAGTCGAGTCCTTTGAAGCACAAAGGGTGCGAGAGACGGGCGGAAGGGATAGATATATTATATGCTGTGTGTATTATGTAAATTATATGTACTGACAGGCTTCGCCAAACGGCGACGCCTTTGGGGGGACTGCGCGTATCCGCAGGCTCTTTGCACAGCAAAATCGACGATTAGCAGTTAGCACAGCTTCGAACGCCTGCGCATACACACTCCCTCACAGGTGTGCGCACGAGGGTCTGATGTAAAAAGCCTGGCAACCTCAGCTTCAGACACACGTACGCACATGCACACCCGCGCACGCACCCACACGCACACGAACGCACACGCACTCGCGCGCACGCGTGCGCACGAGCGCGCAAGCGCGCGCGCGACGGGCTCGGGCGCGGGCACACCCACTTGGCAAAGTTGAGCCACTTTTGCGTCAGCGAGCCCTGTGAACACAGATAGCTTTAGGCTAGACATGCCCAAAAATACAGTTGCTTCAGCGCTTTCCACGCCAACCTTATAAAAACGTCTTAGTTTACGTTGTTTTGTCCCCTTGCATGCTGCCTTTTTTCATTCGAACTTTGAAAAGCCCTAGGACTTTACAGCATTTTTCGCCTAGCCGTCAACCAAAAATAGACATCACATCAACAGTTTTCAGTTCCAACAAGGATCCAACATGATCAGCATCACCCGTTAGCAGCGTCAAGCATCACCAACATTATCGGATCTTCACTAGTCTCATCCGCCCAAAGCCATCAACGTGTAGAGACTCTCGAAGCCGTCTTGCATACTCTCTCCGCCAGTGGAAGTCATCTCGAACATTAAAAGGTGCTTTCTGTCCAAAGGTCTCCACTTTCATTGACAACTAGTAAACTACACAAACTCACCTAAATTTACAATGTTACAGTGTCATGTGCCTAGCCGTAAACCTAACAAAATCCTGAAAGCGGCCTCCAAATCCCCTAAGGAATTTGGCTTTTATGTGAACAATGCTGCTCGTACTCTGGTGATGCCAATGGTGCTCGACACAAGTGCTACCTCAAAACTTTCTCTCTCCTTTGCATACTTTCTTCTAGAAATAGAGCTTCATAGTAGCAATTTTTGCACATTTTCCTCTATTTTTGATTTTTCAATTAAATACATACGTCCTGGTGATGTTCAAAATGTCCGTTTGCGGCCGACATTTCTAGCACCACCTGGGCTTATACGGCTTCTTCAAACAAGTCACGAGTATAGGTGTAATATCGCAGTCAGGACTTTGTAAAGCTTATAGCTTCAAAGCCGTCTGTTCATAAATTACAAACATCTTGCAAACACACTAATTGACAGTGTTTTGCGCCTAGCCATGCGCCAAACCAACCCCTCAAAGCAGCCTCCCGAGCCCCGAAGGATTTGCATCTTTTTTGCTGAAAACGGTGCGGATGCTAATGATGCTCGACTAATATTTGTCTTCAAAACTGGTCTCCATTTTCAATGCTTTGTTTTCTAGAGGTTTTGAAGCTACAAGCTTTACAGTGAGTATGTTTCATCATTTTCATTTGTTTTGACGTTTTTTGACGAAGTCACATGAGCCCTGGGTGATGCTAGAAGTACGGGTCGGCGGCATGGAGCGCGTCTCATTTAGCAAGCTAGGGTTGATCGGGTTGACGGCACAGAATGGGCTGACGCCCAGGTGCCGCCGACCCCGTATGTTTTGGGGTCGGCGCTGAGAATACTGTTTCCTAGTCTTGTGAGGCACGTTGAAAACAATTTTTTGGGTCAATTATACTATATTACGAAAGCCAGCCGATAGGCTAGGCTGGCGAGCGAAGTGAGGAGGGGATGTGGGGGGGGTGGTTGCGTAGCCGGTCTGGCTGGGTAGGGTGAACCCAGAGCCTGGTGGTGTGACGCGAGTGATGCAATTGACGCCGAATCATTAGCGTCGCGAGGGGCCCAGGAGGCTACTACTTAGACAGTCTTTCGGCAAGGGGTGGGAGTTCATGTCGAGGACTGGAAAGGGTGACCGGAAAAGAGGTCGGGGGCTCACCAGGAAAGTGAGATGTGCGTCTCTCAGCCCTTCATTTTCTTGGGGCCAATAAAAGTGGAAGGGGCCGCAAGAAACGATGTCACTGATGTCACCAGTAGAGGACTGGAGAGGGGATAGAATGCAGTCGGCAACCTTTGCGTTGTTTGGGCCCTTTTTATGGTGAAGAGGGGTGTTAACTGGATGAAAAAGGGTGCCCCTCAGAGCTATAGATGTCCAGGGGAGTTGGACGGATCGAAGTCTATCCTATGCCCACTAACGGTGGATGGGAGTTGACTCAGGCGTTGCGTATGCGGCTCTGGCAGGTCCAGCTTCAATGTTAGGCAAGCGCGTAATCTTGCCAGTCAACGTTCGTCGGTCCACTCCTGGCCGCGCACCGACTTTATGATTCCGATACAAGACGAAGAAACGAACGGCAGCCGAACACTCCCCCGCTCCTTGGGGGTGCCCTCTTTCAGCTTGAACACGCCCTTAAACCGCAAGAGAAAGCCCCCGCCCGAAGTGCAGGTGACCAGGCTAAGACTCTGCGCTGGCTAGAACCTCTTTCCCTTAGAGAAACCGTTCAGTCAACTCAGGAGAATATTTGTGGGCTTAATCCTTACCCCGGCGCCTTGAAATTGGATCTCTTGGAAAGACACAGAACGCCGTCAGGAACCTTTAAGTTGCTTGAGGGGCGCCCTTTTTGAAAGAGCCTTTTACCGGATGAAAAAGGGCACTCCTCTCTCTCTGAGCTATACATGTCCAAGATAGACCCGCCTTTCATACAAACCCAAGTCTATCTATCCTATGACAGCGCATGGCGAATGAGAGTTGATCCAGGCGTTATGTCTAAAGGCTCTGGCCTTCATCTTGTGTATATAGAGCCTACCGTATCCACCCTCAATGCAAGACTTTGCGCTTCTCTGCCTTCTATTTCCCCACGCCTGACAGCAGTTGAAGTGCGTTGTCGACTGTCGACTTCGCCCCATAACCACATTGATGTCTTCTTACGGAGGCTGGGTTTCGCCCCTCCCTTCTCAGGTATATAACAACATGACCAATGACTGTGTCAACGCAGGTGGCGAGAACATCGCCGAACCGACCTAAACTGTATTATACTACCGACCGGTGACTTAGGACTTGTGTGGGCCAGTGACATAGTAGTTGTGGCCCGCTACTCCTAAGTCATTGGGAACACAAAAGTTGCAGAGTTGCTGATTCAAGCCTCATGACTTGGGAATTGTCGCCAGCTGATGATTAAGCATTTTTTCAGGGAGGGTGGGGAACTGATGCACACAGAACAAATGACATAAGAATCGGCCTGCTCATCATGTTTCATCATGCGTCCTGGTACTTACAACTCCTATCTCACGTCATTTATTCATCTTTTTCCGGCAGCTTTCTGTTTTTTTAAAGCTATTCTTGTGTGACCATCTTTTGATGTGTTTCTCTACTTTAAAGTCCATGACATAGTTGTGTACATGGCTCAAAAATGCTTTAAGACACATGACAAAGGAGTTGTAAAACCCACGATATGTTTTACAACTCCTTTGTCACTAGTCGAGAGTATATTCATTGTATCCTACGATTGGAACCTAATGGGAGGTCCTTCACCTGGTGTGTGTGTGGTTGCTTTTAAGCTGTCGTTTTCGTGGTCCATGCTGGGATGTGGTTGCTCAAAGGTTAGAACCGAAGGTCATCATGCTGACGCATAAGCAAGGCGCTTAACCATCCTACCAAGCCACTTGGCCAAGAGAGCGCACAGATGTTGAACATAGATGAAAGCTGCTTCCCCGGAAACATACATTAGCTTTGCGTGTGATGCCACCCACTGTCAGTTGACGCGACGATAAATTCTACTTTTGTATGTTTTGAAACATCTAGAAGTTCTTGCAAAACTATTCCTACCTACCTTGGAATCTCTGCGCGCCCAAAACGACATCCACAACTTCACACAGCTTGCTGTACCTGCCAACTTCGACAGAGAGGGTAAGGCAGACACGCCAAGCCCGTGGTTGGAGAGGGTGCCAGAGGCAGCTTCGAGACCTGTGCAAGGCCACGGCCAGAGGCGTGGAACCTTAGACCCAGCAACAAAACCATAGGCAGAGGCCAAAGCCGGTTGAGTGGACACAGGCGAGCGTTCCACCCTGCGGTGTCCCAGGTGCCGCCCCGCTCAGTTTGGGCTGAGCAGGGGCCGGCGGAAATGTTTCCGTGACAGGTCATCATTTGACGTTTCCCCTAAGACACCGCTGGTGTCACTCTACTCACTGAAGGTGGCCACCGTGCTCAAAGCAGCTCAAGCACTGACTTACTACCAGGCCGGAGTGACACCAAGTTTCTCACATCGGCTCGGCCGGAGATGCGCATTGATGCTGCGTACAGCGATGGCAGGGTGGTGCAAAGCGGCATGTGATGCCAGATCCCAAAATGGATAAGGCTCGTGACGCTGACGATTCAAATGCATACCGCGCAAGCCTCGTGCCGCCAGTCAAAGTGTGACCAGGACAATGACATCCGCATCCATCAGATGCGCCCCACACGGGTGAAAGGCCGTTTCGTGATGTTGTGCTGTTCAAGACTGAGTCATAACTTTAGTTGCCTGCTTAATCGTTTTTTGTTCCTTTCAATACTTGCACTACCACACAGCCATAGGTACCGTACATTGTTTTAATTGATTTGATTTTTGATGAATTTTGCCGCTCTTGTCATTTTTGTTCGCTTTCTCATGCTGTCTCATTTCTCACTCGCTGTTCCTTGCGCAGCTGCCTACGGCCGCGGACCGGGATGGATTGTCACGAAGACTGGCATGGGTCACGGCTGGGATGACGTGGGTACAGGTCCACCACTCAGAGGAAAAAACACTGCTATTATTCAAAACTATATCTAGCTATATATATATATATTATATTTCTCTTTGTCCAGCTGAAGGCAGAACCATGGAATTTATGTTGCGTATGGCAGGTAGGGTTGCAGACTCTCGACTGAACCGCGTGACGGTCGACCCCTTTGACGACACGTGCGGCTCTCTGCGTTAAGATCGTGATTAGGTTGGGTTTGCCAACCATCCATTTCAGAAGATGTCATAGGGAAGTCAAACACTTTTGATTGGCAGCAAGGCCGCACTTCTCAACGCAGCAGGGCAAGAAATTTGTGCGAAGCTCATTGTTTTTTTTAGTTTTGTTTCCACTTTGGTTATTTATCCCAGGTCTCCAAGACCAAGTGGAATCCACGGAAGAGCGGCTCCCAATAGTGAATGCAATGCGCCATCGTACAGTGCTGTAGACAGAGTCATAGGTTTTCAGACCCCAACAGCTTCACTTTTTGTGAAAAATAACTGGAAGCAGCCTTGGTTTGTTTGATCGAAATTTGGATTTGTGTATTTGGATGTTGCAATATATCAGGGAAGATATGAGCCATTGCTTTGGCTCAACACTCTTGCAGATTAGCGGATACACATGTACTTGTAACTCGCAACACTGAAGGTTTCCGTCAGACCCTAGTCTTTTAGGATTCTTATTTTCTTGTAGTGCATCCGGTGGCAAGACGAGGTGAGATGTAGATGCTGGATCATAACATAACCTGTCGGGCCTGTGGTGTTTACTTGATTGGCTACTAGTTGATTCTCTGTAGCAACGCCATGGCAACACAACTTTGATGGGAAGATGAGTCATGTGACGGATGCATGCAACAGAAACATGCTGAGCCGTCGGATGATCTGCAGGAATCTGCGGAATCTCCCAGTTCAGCTGGTGCAACCTCTCCGGACTTTGGACAGCCCCAGATCCTGGTGACACCCGCCAGCGATGTCACTGGCCTCCCAACACCGGATTTCGGGAACGAAAAAACGAGTGAGTCCAAAGCGAGTGAGACTCAAGGTGAGGAAGTTCAGAGGAGCGTTGATTCGCCAAAATTTGGCTTTGCAGTTCCTCCATCACCTGATGCCGAATGGGACACGCTCAAGCTACCAGAAGTGGATTCAGGACATGGAGATCAACACCCTTCCACACCTGATTTTGGAAGTCTGGGCCGCCACAACCCTTTCTTGGACCTCGGCAGTGCAGCTAGTAGCCCACAGGCCAGTCGTGAAAATAGCCCAGAACACTCAGCCAAACCCCGACTCTCTGTTGACATGCTACTACCCTCCCCGTCCTCTCCTAGTCGCGAGGGAAGGACACACTCGACAGATCGGAATGTTCGAACTCAAAAGGTCTCAGATCGGAAGTCTCCAGACTCAAAGACTTTCGACTTTGAGATTGATCAACAAAGGGAAGATGGTGATGACTTGGAAGGTCATGCAGAGAGTGCCGAGCTGCTACAGGAGTGCTTCAGACTGGATGAAGAACTTCAGAGCAAGAAAGAGATGCTCAAATGGTTCTATCAAGAGCTGGAGGCTACATCAGCCAAGTCCCTTGGTGGGTTGATAGACTCTTGAAGCCAAAAACGTTAATTTGCGGTGAATGATAGAGAAGGCTTTGAGTGTGCCTACCACCAGGTTGGAGACTTCCCGTACACATTTGGAAGAAAGTCAAGCATCCAGGCCTGGTAATTTTTAGATTTCCACTTTCCTGTGATCCCAGCTTTCTTGCTACAAATTTGCTACCCCTTGCCGACCAACATGCTTGCTCTCAGTACCTTGTAGCTTGCGGAGAGGTGTTTGCGGATCGACCGTCTGGTGCGAGAAGAAGAAACAATCAAACCCCTAGTAGCGTCCTCTTGTTCCTAGTAGCGATGCCAGGAGCCCCTAGTAGCATCCTTGCTCCTAGTAGCGTCCTCTTGTTCCTAATAGCTTCTTGCTCCTAGTAGTACGCGATGCCCTTTGCTCCTAATAGCTTCTTGCTTGGTACCAAATCAATTCTCGCCTCCAATGGAACCGAAAGGAAGATTACTGTACTAAGATTTGTGGAAACCTGGCTCCTCACTGAACGAATCGTAGTGTTTGTGAGGATCCATCTGGAGTTCTGGTGAATTGCAATGGCATTTTGATGATTTGTGATTAGTGGTGAGTTGTGGTAGTGTCTGGCGATGTGGTTCTGTGTGATAGCAAGGTGGTTTGTTGAAGCTGAGGTGATGTTCGTACTTTGTGGCGAAGTGCCGCCACTGTGTAGCAACCATAGTAACTGCAGTGCTAGATTGATCCAAGGTAAGTCGGGTGGTGACCTGTGGTGATTTGCGGCAAGTACGGTCATTCATTTGACTTTGAGGGGCAACTCACGTCGGACTCCCTGCAAAGTTTATGAAAGTTCCGGCCCTGGAATCTTGGCGCGGACCATAGTTGCATGAACCACGCATCAACACCATCCACCGCATTACACGGGGGTGGTAGGAGCATGCTTGGCTTCTTGCTCCGGAACCTTTCTGTTGAAGCCTGAAGCTATGCTCAGGTGGAGCTTTGCTTTGGACATTATGAGCATATAAAGCTCAGACAAGCTGGAAAGCAAAAGGACGAGGTGGACGGAACAGAGAACTTTGCGTTCTTTCTGAGGGTAAGCCCGCAATGCAGGATATTTTCGTGAGCCCGTTGCAAAGTGCAAGTAAGTCAGCAAGGGTATCCCTTCTGAGGGCGACAGTGGAGTGAGAAAAGAAGCCTTGTCGTCCTTTGTGCACCTGAGCAGAGTGATCGATACACCTTACAGCCAACTTGAGCTCTCCTGTTTCCGGTTCCAAAATTTGACTGCCTGGTGCGCGGGCAGTTTTGCAAGTTTGGACCAACTCTGCTGCCACGAATCCACCTCAGCTGCCTCAGTTCTCTCCTTACATGGCCCCAGTATTCCAAGGCTGTCCTGCTGACATGTTGATTGGAAGGGCACGCTTATAATTTCATGCTTCCAACCTAGCGGTGTCCTCCACCCTAGTAGCGATGGCCTCAACCTAAGATCGATGGCCTCCAAGCGCTTATAATTTCACGCTTCGCGCTTCTGGACTTAGATTGCCGAGAGCCAAAGTCGTGCTGCAAGGATTGCACCTATCTTGGTCCTCCCTGCTAGCTCACAACCGTCCGACCACAGAATTGCACTTGAACAACGCTCGATTGCTCAATCTACACTGGTGACATGGCTCCAGGTTCTGAGTTGCACTAGGTTCTGCAAGCTTTCGCTGTTCATTTCGGTGTTGCTGGCAGGTCCGAGTTGGCGGAAGAACTAGATGCTTCCTTGACGCTAGTTGAGAAGTTGGAAGGAAAACTGGAGAGGCCAGCTGGAGTTGAGTGCTTCACAAGAAACATAGATTGTTCTTGCTTAAAAGTGCCATGAGGCAGCTGTTTGTTGTATGAGGCTCCATGCTCAGGAGCACAGCAGCCAAGTGTTTGAGGACCACGTGAATGAGGCAGAAACTTTAGGCTGCGGTGTACTGACATGCGCAGAGGGCTTCATTCATTTCTTGCATGTTTTTGTTGCCCCTGGGAAGGCCAAAGAACTCCAGCTCAGTTTGCAGAACGAGGAAAATATTTGTCGAACTCTTCGCTTTGAACATGATGACTTGGCATCAGAGCTCCGAGACTTCCGCGAGAAACTTTGTGATGCTCAGCGCTGCTCAGCCGAATTCATCGCTCGAGCCTATCGAGTTGATGTAAAGGAAAGTGCATTTGTAGATTCTCAGGCACCAGGTGAGGGCGTTCTCAGGGTTAGCATGTTTGATCTGGCAACGCTACAGTACACATTTCTGAACGAGTTGTCAAACACGGCCTCTAGATGTTCAGGGTCTTGTACTGAAGGGCAATCATTGTACTAGATGAGTAGCGCAAGGCCATGTCCTTTGCGTTCAGGTACAGCAGAGGAAGCATCCAAGCTTCGCATTTGCAAGCACGAGGCTGCTACTTTGGGAGAAGCTTTGGAAAAAGCAGAGGCATGATTGTTGTTTGAAGCACACGGACTGCGCAATGACGGTGCATGCTTGAGTGGAGTGCTTCCTGCTGCTTGTTTTACAAGGGCAATGGACTTGTTTTGAACCAACAAACACTTGAGAGGCGGCCTTGAGAAAGGAGCAGGCAGATTCATTCGAAAGAGCCGCAGCCTTGAGAACAGAGGTGGGATTTGCAAGTCGACGCACTAAAGATAGGAACCAAGTGTTGCAGTGAGAAACAAAGAGTGAAACATCAGTCCGGGTCCAGGACTCTGACCTCTTTGATGAGCTGGCACACACTCAAGCCCAACTCAAGCAGTCGCGTTTGGACTCCGCACAACGGCTTGCAGAGATGAAGGAATTGGAGGTGCAAGCACGGCCAAGTGAGAGTGGTGGGTCTCAGATTGGGTGGTTGAGTTGGCTTTGCCTCAGGATAGCTCCGCCAAGGAAATGTTTGCTGCAATGCAAGCGCTTGCGGAGTTTGGCACTCAGTCAATCAGTAAATTCGCTTACACCTCGCATCACCTCGCTATAAATATAATATTAATAATATATAACAATATAATATATATATATAATATAATATACATACATACATATCATGTCCTTCTTGTCCGCTGTTTGAAAAGTTTGTGGAATTCAAGGTCAAATGCAGAAGTTGAAGCAGCAACAGCTTCGGAATGGAAGGCAGACGCTGCTTTTGAGCAACTGGCAGATATGTCTAGGGAGCTTTCCGACGACCCTCGACTGCACAATGTTTCAAGGAATCTTTGCACTTGTTTAGTTTCACAGCAGCTAATTTTCGTTAACCTTGCTTTGCAACACATTACAGCACAACCGCCTTGAATTTAGCAGCCTCGTGCAGCCTCAACAAAGCAGTGCAAACAATCGGGCGTCCCGTGACTGCTTGCATGTTCTGCTGTCGACGTGGTGCACATGTCTGCAAGATCCCCCTCAACGTATCAAGATTAAACCGAGCAAACGCTGCTTCGCAACAATACCAGAAATGACCTCGACCTCGACGTACACACATATAAACTATGTATACTGTATATTACGAAAGCCAGCCGATAGGCTAGGCCGGAGTTGTCGATGGGCGCACGAAGTGAGTATTAGGGGGTGTGGGGGTTGCATAGGGGAACAATTTGGGTAGGGCGAACCCAGAGCCTGGTGGGGGAGAGCGAAAAAAAGAGGCGGGAGGCTATTTAAACAGTCTTCGACCAGAATGGGAGTTCATGTCGAGAACAGGAGAGTGGGACAACGGGACGTTGGAACTCCTTCAGGAAAGTGAGATGTGCGTCTTTGAGCACACTGTTTGTTGTGGCTAATATGAGTGTAAGGGACTGCAAGAATCGATGTGATCCGTTGAGGACAGGAGAGGGAACAGAATGCAGTGGGCAAGCTTTGAGTTGCTTGGGGGCGCTCTCTTTTGATGACGAAGAGGCCTGATAACCAGACGCAAAAAAGGGCACCCTGTTTGGGGTAGGAGTTCATGTGGATAGCGGGGGAGGACGTGATAGGAAAAGAGTTTTGGAGCTCACCAGGGAAGCCAGAAGTGCGTCGCTCAAAGCTTATGAAGAACAAACAGCAGGCAAACGCCCTTCAATTCCTTAGGGGGCCCTTTTTCAGCTTGAAGACGCCTTTTGGGCCGGGGGAAAAGGGGCACCCCCCCAACCTATGTATTCTGCTTTCTATTTCCAACAGCAGTAAACGTCACTGCAATGTCGACTTCCCCCCATAACAGCGATAATTTTTCCCGAAGTGAAGCAATCACATGATCTTGGCAGTCAACTTTCCTCGGTCCACTCCTCTCAGCGCACCGATTTTGTCCAACTACAAGACTGGAAGCGCCCCTCAGTTACTTAGGAGTGCCCTTTTTATCTTGAAAACGCTCTTGAGCCAAGAGAAAAGGGGCATCCCCCCTACCTGTGAATGAGAGCCCGTCCCATAACCATATTTATGTCTTCTTACGGAGGCTGGCTTTCGTCCCCTCCCTTCTCAGGTATACACTTATACACATTCTGCCAAATTCCGCTTTAAGAATCGATGTCGAAAAAATGGGAAACGTCTGACATCCAAAGCACACCTGACAGTACCATGTAGTATTGAGCGCTCAAGCACCCGTTGCAGTGCCAATGCTGGTATATATACCATGATGTTGATGAGGACGGCCTCCGGTCCATCGTGTTTGTCGCTCCAGCAAGCAGCGTTGAAATGGGGGGTGCTGAGGGGTTAGCCTTTCATTATGGATGGCTGCACTGACGGACATGACTTTGTTTGGGATGTAGATAACCACAGCAGCACTCCAAAAATTGTTTTACTTTGTGTTTCTTGCTGACGATTGTTGAAAAGGGTTTGGCAGCGAGAAAGGCACTCTTGTCAAGTGGCAAGGCAACATAAGTTGCACATTTGACAAGCAGTCGCTTACCCGCTTGTTTGTCGTCCATCATTTCGAGCAACCTTTTCATCCATCACCTTGCGAAATACATCTATACCCAGCATAACACACGCCACACGGACAACCACGCCCTGACTTGTACTCCCATCCATTGATCCAGTATAGGTGTCCACACTGCTTTGTCGTTGGGGTGGGAATTCCGGGTGTGGTGATGCCGACCAATGTTATATTCGTAGTAATAGGGGGTCCCTACATTATTTTGGTTTTCTGTTTTTGGTTTGCAATGTTTTGGGGAGGTCCTTAATATATAGTTATATAGTAATTAGTCTTTGTGACCAGAGCAAAACAAGAATCTGCTGCATTCATGTCTGAAGCTTTCGGCATTTTCATCATTAACTGTGGATCCAGGCCATTATTGTACCTCCCCAACCCTGAGTTTTCGTTTTGATTTACATGCTTTCTCTTTGGACTTTCTTTAAAATTTGTATTCTATGAGTTGAGACCAGCTACCCATTACGAATTAAGCACTACCGCGAACTTCTTCACCAGAATGGAACACCTGATTCACGACCCACTCTGTTTGGTTGCTCTTTTTTCCCCTCTCTCTTTCTCTCTATGTGTTCGATCAGCATTGGTGCATGCACTTCTTGGCACACACCCACATACCTTGCTGCAACATGCTTTAGTGAATCAACTTTGGACCCCGGCCTTCAGCTTGGAGATGGAAACGACCGTAGAGCTCTTGCATGACTTGGTCGCTTTCCGCTAGTGCAAGGACTAACAGGATACTGCAAGTGCGAAGAAGTGCTTTCTTTTCTTTTGTCAACAGCAGGGTGGAGGGTCAAAATCACCAGTTTCATCCCAGCTTGACTGTGTGTTTGCAAGTGTGGAAGCACCAGTGACTTCAAGGTTTGCTTCCAAACGTACGTCCTTTAAGGCCTCTCTGCCTTCGGCTGGATCTTCGTCTGGTAGAGCAAAGACACATGCGCACACTTGTCAGCGCACATATTCGCCTGAAGCACGAATGCTCAATGATATCAACGATAGGCATCCTGCCAGTTCCGCAACCTCCATGTACATTCACAATACAGCAACATTGCCGATCAATGTTTTGACCAGGATCCATGGTGCCATCCAAGCCACTGGCAAAGCACATGGGACCTTGACCTGAGGCAACTGCTCGTGCAGGCTCTGAAAGCGAGCAACATGCTGCAATCCTTGCTGCCTCCAAAGCCCATGCGGAGCAGAGAACTCAATGTGATCGAAGTTGTTGGATTTTCAATTTGCAGATTAAGAGTCATAGTGGCTGTGAACTTAGGATGGAGACAGCAAAGATGAAACAGCAGTTGGCAGACCTGGCTGCCCAGCTTCAAGTGGCCGACTCCAAGTGGAGTCTTGGTCCTGGTCAGAATTTTGTGACGGCCCAAGGCCGTCCTTGAGCCTCAAGCCTCCCAAGTTGCTTGAGGGTCCAAGATTTGGGTTGTAACTGGGTTAGGTTATTTGTTTCTTTCGTGCTGAGGAAGAATGCAGAAGCACGGTTGGCAGTGACAGAAAGCTGCAGTGGCACATCCAACATGCAGAGAGAAGGACTTCTGGAAGCAAGGATCCATGACTTGGAAGTCAAACTCTTGGAAGTGGTTCCATGACTCAAATTGTGGGTCCAACATTTGATTTCTTGGACCGAGCAAACTTAAACATGCGCTGCTGAGGCTGCATCCAAGCAAAGCGTGGAAAGCCGACTTGATGCCTCTGAAGCCCGCCTGCAACAACTTCAATCGAACGTTGATGACGAGCTCTTGGCCAAACGTGCGGCAGAAGTCCGCCTTGCACAGGCAGTCCGCTGTCCCCCTCGTTAGTTTGTCTGCATTTGTCTGCTATGTCTGCCATGTCGACCACGCTAGTTTTCCAGTTTCCCGGAAGCACAGACACGGAGGTTGAGAAGTCTTCCAAGTCGCTGGATATGAAACTGGCAATGGCAGCCGAATGTGAACAAGATGCCGAGGCTGGAGTTCTTGGATTGCCTGTTGTTGACGTAGGAGCACGGTTGGATATGTCGCTCTTTGCTCATGTGTCAAGGTGCATTTGACTCAAGCAGAAGAGATGAGCTGGGACTTGCAGCGGCAACTGGAAAGGGAGAGCCGTTCTCGCGGATCTGTCAGCATGCGCTTGCAAGAGGCATGGCTAGCCGAACCTGTTTTGAGAGTTAAGCATAGTGTAGCAGTGTAGCAGCACCACAAATGGAACGGTGAGCCCGATGTACCCTGAAGCATGAGCCAACACGGTCAGGCTGAGCAGGAAGCTGAATCTACAGGCCTTTGAAATCATTGAATGAGTGACCTTTGCTCCTAGTAGCTTCTTGTTCCTAGTAGTAAGGCCAGGAGCCCCTAGTAGCGTCCTTGCTCCTAGTAGCGATGCCCTTTGCTCCTAGTAGCGTCCTAAAGCCAAAACCCTTCAAGGGTTTCATGATCCTTCCGGATCCGGGTTACTCCTGTGCCTGCACACGTCTTTTTGACTCGAGCTTCGTGGAATGGAGAACCATTTTGTTTATGTTTTCCTGTGACATTACAATGATCATTACAAACATCTTGGAATGTGTTGAACAGATTTGAAGGTCGCAAGCTGGCTTTGGCCTTGGCAGCACGACAAGCTGCCGAGAGCCGGCTGAGCGCAGAGGAAGTGGTTTTTCAGCAGTTGGAGGCACTTACTTGCATATTTGCTCTCTCACTCTCTCTCCATATACATATAATTTATCTATATATCTGCACATACAGAGAGGAGACTCGTTTATCTCATGTCCAGTAGTTTAGAATCAGCGGAAGTGTTTGGAATGACTGAGCATGTCGTGCTCGTCGTGCTTCGATTTGAAGGCTTCCCTGGCACATGCGGAAACCACAGCGAGCAGCAGAAGTCAAAATGCCGTTAGCCTCAAGGCTGGGACTCACACATGCACAGACACACAAAGAAGCTTCCCTATTTGTACTGCAAGGCTAGAATTCCATTTATGGCAGCTTTGTAGTTGCTTGCGCCATAGCCAGTCCCTCCTTGTCTCTCCAAAATGCCAAGCTTCTTTTGGCGTCCATTTCTTTTGAGTTCCCTTCAACTTTCTGTTTGATCTGGGTGAACAAGTTAAGTTTCCCAAAGAATCTAGGAACCAAATCATTAGAGTGAACGTGAGCTATCCTGCGTCCAGTTACTAGAAGCTTAAGTATAGCTAGGAGCGCGAGCCCTACTCCCTCAATTAAGAAGGTGCCTACTCATATTAAGTAAGGACGCAGGCTGCAACCCCCCAAAAAAGGTCGACAGTTGGACTAAATTTGGATGTTTTGTCGAAAACATCCGGTCGACGCCCGAAACACCATTTCCCCCGAACCAGGCGGAGCTGCACGAAAGAACCATGCGCCTGGAAACAGAGATCCAAGCACAGAAGGCCTCAGAGGCGAGCTTAGCTGAGAAAGACTTTCGCAGTCACAGCTACATTCCAAGCACTCAGAGCGGCCTAGCCACATCGCTTTGGTTGCCCACACCTGCCCACATCCACCAGTCACCGGCTGATTTTCATCGTGTTCCAATGTGTTCCATCACTCCTGTGAGATCCTGTGAGGCTCAGACTAGAAAGCTTCAAGATAGCCTCAGAGATTTGGAAGCAAAGTTGGAATCTGCCATCACAGCACGCGAAGATGTTGATGTTCGATACCCGGTACATGGCTTTTTCCGCATTGTGATTATTGTACTTTATGTGAGCAAACTCTGCATGTACAGCAGTCCAACAGGATGACTCTTGCGCTGAAATGAGGCGGCACTCAAGGAGTCTCAGCGCTTTGCAACCAAGATGTCGCAGGAGTTGATCTCTTGCCAGGACGCAGCAAAGGTGGGGCAGCTCCTCTCATTCTCACCAGGTCATGTGGCAGGTTTGCCCTTCGCACCATCTCATGATTCCGCGCTCGAAAATGTGATTTCCGTGTGGAACAGGTATTTCCTTGAGGAGTGGTATGGATTTCAGAAGTTGACATGCATTTCTCTCGGGACGCAGACAAGCCAAGCACGTAGGCGGAACTCGCCAGCTACCAGATTGATGGCAAGGTAGAGTCTGCCTCACAGGTGCAGGCCCACCCCACTTTCTTCGTTTTGCTTTTGCATAGAGCGGATGATGCACTGAACTGATTTGCTGATTGGTTGCAGGCCAAGGTGCTGAAGCAGCAAGAAATGTCGGAAAGGCTTCAATCAGAAGTTGCTGACGAGACAAAGCTTGCAGCCACCTACAAGGCGAACCAGAAATTGTTGTTAGAGTGCTGCTCCGCAGATTCCATGTCAACGTTTGCAGGCTCTTGCTGGAACTCTGGAAATGGAGGTTGAGACCGAGAAGCAGGGACGTGAACAGGCTCAGGCTGGTCTGATGTGCACCTATTTGATCCTATTTGATCTTCTTGGTTCGAGGATGGATCTTTCAAGCAGCCCTTTTTATTGTCAGGAGGCATTTGGGAAAGCAAAGGATTCTGCAAACTCCTTGGAATGTCAGCTTGCAGCAGCCTCTGCAATGGCTGAAAGGCTGAAGGCGGAGAGTGCAACCGTTGGGGGCTACAGTGTTGGATATGGAGAGTGAACCTCTCAATGCTCGCATCGAACACATTGCTTTGGAGTTTGATCATGCTTCGATTTGCCAATGGACAGAAAGTAGGAGGCACGGATCTTGACCAGGACATCTTGAATACAATATGGCAAGAGGAAGGAACAAGTGGAAGTGAACAATCAATTCAAACGTTGTGACAGCAAAAGGACAAGCTAGTATTCCTGTGCTTCTCAAGAAAGCCAGATGTTTTTCTTCCTTGATGGTTCCTTGCCTTTTGCTTTCTTCTGTTGTTCTTTCTCTTTCCTTCTACATGCCTCTCTCTCTCTCTCTCCCTAGCTCTCCCTCCCTCTCCCTTTTTTGTTTGCTTATGAATGTTACAAGTTTGTATGACTTGACATGCTTGCTCTCTTGGTCCTCAATGCCTTCCTTCTTGGGACCACGATAGAGTCTTCGCAGGTATTTACCAATGAATGCCGCTCATTACATACTTCAATAGGCGTTGCGTGTTTGGTTGCCAATCTGTTCGGCAAATCAGGCTCATCAGGATGAGAACGAGCAAAGTGATGCCAAGTCATCCGCTGCACTTTCGCTTGCCAGGGAAGAGCAGGCCAGCAACCTTAGGTTTGATGTCGAAGCACTGTGAAGAGGATTGAAAAGTACCGATCGATGGCCTCCAACCTACTACTGTAGTAGCGATGGCCTCCAACCTAATAGCAATGGCCTCCAATCTAGTACCGAACCATCATGTGAAATCTATCACTAGGCCATGAGACCAAGTTTAAAGAACTCTTCATTGAGAGGCTGAGCAACAACTCGAGATCAATGAGCTGAGACAAGAATTGCTGCTTGCACGCCAGCAGCGGAGGGCAGCTTTGCAGGCTGCAAATAGGATCACAAAGTTGTAGAGCATTATCAAGTGAACTGATGGGTCTTTCAAGAGCTTCAAGGTGGGTTCACAAGTTTCGTCCAATCGTTTCCAATACACCTTCTCGGTATCAGGCCTCTGAGAGAGCACAGATGGCGCGTGTAAAGCAACAGCAGCAGGCGCAAGTCACAATTATTTTCTTCCCATTTCAATTAGGTCATAATTGGCCTTTGGATGCCTTTGGCATGTTTGAGCAGGCGGTGAGCTTGCGGAAAAGAAGCGAGTCCAAGCCTTGGCCAAGCAGCTTCGGCTTTCGTGTGTCGTGACACCACTGCTCCTGTCTGTCGAGGCAAAATGAAGCGGCACGCTCGGCATCAATTACGTCCCTCATTGAAGAAAACGGAGCACTTGTCCGAGAGCAACATGCGCCGAGCTCACAATATCCTCAGTTCCCTTGCACTTTCTGTAGTGTTTTTGACTCGGAATCTCAGGGCGAGCTGCTTTCAGAAATCAAAGTATGCCAGGCCATCCCCAGGTCTTGCAACCCGCTTCTGCCCAAGTTACGTCTCCTCCCCTGAAGAGGCTGTTTTGGCGAGCCGTGCAGTCGAGCTATCAAAGTCTCAGGATGTGAGGCCCACAGTTCAAGATGAAGCTAGTAGTAACAAGTGCCACGCTAGTAGTAACAGGTGCCTTACTAGTAGTAACAAAAAGCTATTAGAATTAATAAAACAAATTAATTCTAATAGCTTTTTGTTACTACTAGTAAGGCAAAAATTAATTCTAATAGCTTTTTGTTACTACTAGTAAGGCACCTATTACTACTAGCGTGGCACTTGTTACTACTAGCTTCTTGTGATAGACAGACAGCATGCAGCATGCTCATTTGGAAGAATCCAAGGAGTGCTCCAACCTGAAACTTCAAGTTAGCCAGCTCGTCCAGAAGGAAAGCAAAGCCTTGCAGAAAGTCTTGTCCAACACTAACACAGCTGTCAAAATTGCATTTTGTTCAATTCTTGACCAAGCTACTTCTTGTCCTTCTTACCCTGTTGCAGACCTCGCAGGCCGACGGTGCGGAGAAGCTTGCAGAGTCTGAGCAGCAATGTGAGAACCTCGAGACATGGGGAACCAAATCCCTTCTGTGTCTCAACAACCCAGTCTACCAATGTTCTTGGACACAATGAGAACATCAACATCTATACTTTGATTTCCGAGGTTGTCGCGTGCTTCTGCAGCAGCTGGAGGACATGACACTTCAGCCGGGAGCATGTGACATCAGTCCAAGTTTTTGGTGTAAAATAGACAACACATGACAACACATGGAGGAATTTTTGGCTGTGCCCTGGCCCTGCCTTTTCAAGGTCGATCGAATCAGCAGCACGCTCCCCACAGGCCGGCGGCTTGCTGCACAGCATTTGCTGGCCCGGTTCCCCCACAGCTTTCCGCTGCCATGTGAAACAGGTGCTTCTTTCAAGAACGGACGTCGCCAAGGTGGGGTGAGTGCGAGCATCTGAACTCCTTTGTACAAAATGTTGTCAACAATTACAGGTTTGCATGAAAACAGGGAGACCGCCCAACCAATGGCTTTCCGGCTTTGCTTCTTGATCAAGCCCGTTTTGGACCCGCTGTCTCCCCACAGGGTAGCGGGACGAAGCCAGAAACGCAAGGCTCAATTACAAGATTAGCCACTGGCCATCCCCCAAGCCAGGAGAAAAAGCTTGGGGTGGCCAAGGTCGCACCAACCTGTGTCAGTTCACTTCTTTTGGGGGTGAAGGTATTGCCCAAGCAACTCAAACACTCGAAAGGCAACATGGGTCCCAACGATCCCACTAAATTCTCGTTTGTAGCCCCAAGCCGTGCTGGACGAACATCGCTCCAAAAAGGCCAACAGAAAATAGAGTGCAAGCCACCTCGTGACACAGCAACAAAAATGCGGATTTCACCAAAACAGTGGATATTGGTAAATTTGTTTTCTTCCAGGGGGTCTCTCTCTCTCTCTCTCCCTATTTCAACAACCAATATCAATAAGTCTCGCAGGCACTTCAGCTGCGAGATGAGCTGGCTGCTTTGCAGGCAGCCCTCTTTTCGCTTTGCTGGTCAGCTGGTCAGTGAGGGTGGTCAGTGGTGAGGGTGGACTTTGCAGGTTTGCCAGCTACAAAGTGAGGCGGGAACCTTTTCTTTGACTGAATTCAATGATAGGCACGGAGACTACTGACTGCTGGTACCGAAGCTAAACTTTCACGAGGATGGCAATTGATTGCTGATGTGGCGGGCTGGTAAGTCTAAAGTCATCTAAAGTCTAGAGTCTAGAATTGGCAGGTTGTGGTTTGATGGCTCAGCTCTCACAAGGATGGGTGCTTGTCTAGCCCCAGGCTGCTGCGGTTCGGCGTCAGTTGGCAGTTGGAGGGGCCTGTTTCGTGGTACCCTTAGCTTCCTCAGTTGCGTGAAATGATTAAGTTACCCCCCAACATCTTGGAAGATCCCTAAGCATGTGCCTCTCATGGTAGTATATAACTACTTAAGCTAGTACCCTCTTACTCCGGCTTACCTACCACGCCCGGCCTGAAAAAAGACACTCATTCGACAGATATGGCTCAGAAACGCCACGGTCGCCCAGGCTGCGACTGTGTCTGGAGGTGCCTTGGAGGGTTGAGCCGCGTCGAGCCTTGACGTGAGTCCGTTGGCGGCAGGTGACCCGATCGAGCACGCTACTCCACTGCGTAGGCAAACGATGGCAAACCGACGTTTTTGGCACCATCTGAATTTGAATCGAGATAATCGTGCATTCTACTTTGTCTCAGGACTTTGGCAACACCTGTACACATGGAGGACCAAGCTGCATGACACATTTTGAGATTTTGAGCCATGTTAGTGCATTCGGAGACGGACTTGCTGCGAAATATATAGGACGCACAACTTGGTGAAGAAGGTGGGCGTCGAACACAGCAGTTGTACAAGCAGAGATGCCTTACTTTGGGAGGTCAGGTGTCTGCCTTGCCGCTCTCAGCCAGTGTGCCTCGAGCTGCATTACTAAGCCTGTGGGATGCAAGTCGCGATGACATCAAGAGAAAACTTTGAACCTCGCCGTGGCTGGAAATTGAAGCTAGTAGGTTGGAGGCCATCGCTATTAAGAAGGAGGCCGTTGCTATTAGGAAGGAGGCCGTTGCTATTAGGCATCTTCCCAGCTCCATCGACTCTCAGAGGTTGGAAGCGTCAGCCCCCTAAGCTCGCTGCAAGCGAATTCAGGGTCTGAGACTCAACTTCATTTTCCCTTTTGTATGCCTGCACTTGGGTGTTTTGAACTTTAAGGTCTCAGTGCCCACTACCCTGGGGTCCACCACCAACGAAAGTGCAGGCAAGTAATGAATTCTATATATAACCAAAACGTGACACGCACCGAACATGCACCCATATGGGCACACACACACTGAAATATGCCAGGACTTGCTCTTCAGCGCCAGTTCCAGTCCTGTTTCCTCTCGCGCTCGGGAAAGATAGAGTCTCCGCACAATGCCAGAGTGCGGCTGAAGTCGAAAGTGACGATGGCACAAAGTGGCCACCTATTTGTACCATATAGTTAAATATAGTTAACGATCCCGCAGATTTTGTGCGGCTTTCAGCTAATGTAAAGGGCATTGCAAGGCATTGCCGTATGGCATCCAACACCACAAGTGGGCGCCAGCGTGAAATGGAGTCGTGCTTGTTTGAGACCGTGTTTGGAAAAGTACAGTCTCCTCGCAACGCGGCGAAAGTATCCATTGGAGAAGCAAGAAGCTACTAGTAGCTCCTGGCATTACTACTAGGAACAAGAAGCTTCTAGTAACAAAGAGCATCGCTACTAGTAGCTTCGTGCTACTAGTAGCAATGATGCTGGGTTTGTCTCGTGTTGTGGGTGCATCTTGGATCCCCGCATGCAACTGGCCGCTCTTCTTTTCCAAAGCGTTGGGAGAAAGGACAAGAGGCGGAAAGGAACGGCACTGTACCAAATGGCCTGCGGTTTTGCAAGATCAATCAGAGCAAAGGTGTTATGGAATCACAGAATCCAGAGCATCGATTGCAATCCACTCGATTTTGCAGGTATATACGGTATATATTGTAAAGAAGTAAAGGAGGACATATGAAACTTCGCAAGCAGTCATGACAGGACAGCAAGACGGTACGTGACACGTCAACGACCGAACGTGTTGCGGCTCGAATCAGGCCTTGAGCCTATCGCGCGAGTCCAAAAAGGCTTGTGCGAGGGTTCATTCCGCTTTGCACTGGTAGCGGAGCCTAAGTGCTCCTAGGACGGCGCGCTGCCATAGCTTTTCGTTCTGCGAATTGGTTTGGTGACCCCGCCCTGGAGCTGTTCAGGTGGTTGAACTTTTGAGGTGGTCGTATTGTGCCCTTCATTGGTTGGTGGCAGTCTGTGGTGATTTGGCTCACTATTGTACCGGAATTGTTATTCTCGAGTACTTTGTGAAGGCTGGACACTTCGGAAGTTGCTGAGGTAATTTGGTGCAAGTTTTGTTGACTCGCAGTATCACCTTTGATTTTGCAAGATTTCAATTTACAATGCAGTCAAGTGGGCAATCATTGTATGTTGACCCGAAGTCCAACGTTGTGCATTATGACGGCAATCCAAAGTTGGCTGAAGAATACGAAGAGCGGGTGTGGCTGGGTTTTCAAACTGTGATGAAGGAAGAGAAAGTGTCCTATGCAGCAAAACTCAAGAACGCATTGCATGGCCGTGCATGGACACTCTGTCACAGGAAACCCGAGATCGCAGCTCAGAAACTCCTTCAGCTGAGTGAATCGGACCCGAGCACAACAACAGGACCACGAGCAGCAGTACAACTGGTGGTGAAGGTTGTGAGGAATGCTTGTGAGAAGGTTGCTCCATTGCTCAAGACCCAGACCTTCGAAGACTACTTCTTTGAGAAAGGTCGAAGAAAGGCATCCGAAAGCATCCAAGACTACATCAGTCGCCGAGAGAATGAATATGAGAAGCTGACAAGTTTGACACAAGGTCATACAAAGTTGTCGACTGATCTGCAAGCCTTTTTCCTACTGAGGAATGCTGGTGTGAGCTCATCGCAACATCGTGCCATCCTGGGACAGGCAGGGAATGAGTATGATTGGGACCAGATTGTTGAAGCTATGCTCATTCAATTGGACGGTGGTGATGACATCAGCAGCAACAAGGGTTGGAAAGGTGGCTTCAAGTCAAGACAACAAAGCAGCTACAGTACAGGAGGCAAAAGAAGCGCATGGGCCTACCCAATTGAAGAGGAGTGGTCAAACTATGATGGTGAGACTGAGGATGTGTACGCAGTTGATGACTGGTACCATGATGATGAAACTGCTGAAGAAGGAGTCCCCATCTATGAAGTTGAAGAAGACATCCAGTTCGACATCGAGGAGATGGAACACGCCGTGGAGGTGATGGCAGTTGATGATCTCTCTCTGGAGGAATTGGACATCTTCGCTATGACGGCTCAGAAGATGGGTAAAGGTGCTTCAGAATATGCTCGCAAGAGACAAGCGGTCAGAGATGGAAAGGTCAACAGAGGATATCAACCTAGCGCTGTTGGCCACAATCGAACAGCAATTGCATTGGATGGCAAGGTGACTTTCAACGCAGGACAGCTACAAGACAAGTTGCAGCAGATCAAGTCACGGACGCAGTGCTATGACTGTGGACAAAAGGGACACTGGCGTGGAGACAAGTCATGTCCGAAGAGCACGAGTTCATCAACAAGTTCAAAAGGCAAGAAAGGTTCTGGAAAGAAAGGAGGCCGTAAGGGTGGTTTTCTCGCCTCGGCATCGGGACAGCTGCTCGCATCATGCCAAGATGCCTTGAACAGTTTGAACTTGTCGTGCATGGAGGAGTTCCATGAGTTTGACATCGAGGATCAGATCCACAGCTGGCCCAAGTTCGAAACCTTTGAGGAGCTGCAGTCATCGTTGCAGGTGGACGCCTTCATGATAAATGAATCTGAGTTGGCGACAGTTCCCCACAGTTTGACATTCATGGCCGGAGCCGGACGCGAGACAGTGCCGCCCGGAATGTGTGTTGTTGACACAGCTGCATTGATTGGTTGCGGTGGTGACCGAACATTGGACCGTTTCATTGGAAGTTTGGAAGCGAGACAACTCTCCAGACATCCAACAAGGTTCTGAAAGGAGTCAACGCCGACGCACCAGTCCTTGTGCAGCATCAGCAGTGGATCGACATTCACATTGCCGGTCAGAAAGGTCGTGTGGCTTTGCATCGAATTCCCAATTCAGATGTTCCATTGTTGTTGGGCCTTCCTCAACTCAAAGAGCTTGGTGCGGTCATCGATCTCACTGCAGTGCCAAAGCCGACCATTCAGTTTACCTCCATTGGTTCGGAAAAGGTAACCTTGGAATATGGGAAAGGTGGTCATTTGCTTTTGGACATTGGCAACAACAGTGAGAAGAAAAAGGACACTAAGCTGGCAGGTGAAACAGTTGAAGTGTTTCATCAGTTGAAGGCGAAGGACTACAACGTGGAGTCGATCAGAATCATGAAGGGGAAGCTTCGAAAGAAAGTCCAACAGATGGCTGAACAGGCTAAAGAACATGGTAGAGCTCTATGGAAGGAACTACGAAAGGGAGCCATGAAGCGTGGAAGAAAGGTGATTGCGAAAGAGCTGTACAGTGGAGAAGATGGTGGTGTGGTGACGAGGCTGGCAAAAGACAATGATTTCTCCTATGGTCGTCCTCGAGACTTGTTGCTGGGGGACAATTTTCTGAAGGAAGAAGACAGGCGAATGGTGCTTGAGGAGATCAAAGTTGAGAAGCCTAAGTTGATCACCATGGGATTCAACTGTGATCCCTGGACACCGCTTAGCAATTTCTTGGACGAAGACACTCGTACAGCGCAACAAGAGACAGCGCTGGCACATCTGACATTTGTGAAGGAGATTTGTGAATTGCAAGTGTTGGAAGGGCGGCATTATTTGTTGGAAAATCCATTGTCATCACAAGCTTGGAAGCATCTGATGGAGATGTTGGAGCACATTCCACATTACACCGTGCGGATGGATCAATGCATGACTGATCTGAAGGACGTGAATGGTGATTTTGTGCTGAAACCAACCCGTTTCGTGACATCCTCTCCGGTTTTGGCTTCATTGTTGAGTGTTCGCTGTTCAGGTGATCATGACCATGCCGAAGTTCAAGGAAGAGGACAAAAGGACGGGCAAAACATCTCATCATTGCACTTCTTGAAGAGCAATGTGGTGAAGTGAAGTACCATCTTGAGGAAGCTGATGTTTTTCACAGTGCTTTGAAGAGAAGCTCAGAGGTGGTGCTCCGTCAACGTGAAGAAGAAGAGCTTCAGACATGGGAGGAGGTACCAGTTCTTTTAAGAAGCGCAATCACCAAGGTGCATCGACAATACTCCCATTCACTGTACAAAGAGAATTTCAGCCGACACCTGAAATTGTCAGGAGCCTCAGATCGGGCAATCAAGGCGGCAAGGCTGTTCACATGTCCCACATGTGAAAAGGAGAGACGCAGTCCAGCAAAGCCAATCGCTGCCGTGCCCAAGTACAATCACTTCAACCAGTGTGTTGCCATGGACATTGCACACATTCCCGATCAAGATGATGTGATGCATTCCTTTCTAATGATGGTTGACATGGCAACAAACTATACCATGGCATCTTACCTATGTTCAGGTGACAGTCCTGGAAGACCAAAGAAGCCACAATCATCACAGTGCCGAAAGTCACTGATGGATTGGATGGAAGTGTTTGGTGGACCAGAGAAAGTGCAGGTAGACCAAGATGGATCACTCAGAGGCGATTTCCGTGATTTGTTGGATCGCTATGGGATTGAAGAGATCCTTGTGGCCCGAGATGCACATTGGTCACATGGCATTGTGGAGCGAAAGATTCTGACAGACAGTGAAAGAAATGATGTTAAAATTGGTGCATGACAGTGAAATCCGTGGCGCTACATTGTCAAGAGTGGCGGTCATTCAGTGCACCCAGACGATCAACAGACTTTCGAACTTCAGAGGATTTTCGCCTGCTCAATGTGTCCTTGGTTTTCAACCTAACCTTCCGGAGATCATGAGTGATGGAAGAAGAATTCCAATAGCTGACAACGAAGATCATTTCGCAATGGCACAACGGATGAAGCTACTACAAGATTGTGAACATGCTTTTGTGAAAGCCAACCATTCAGCATCGCTTCGTCGTGCATTGCTGTCACAGACTCGTCAACAGCCAGGTCCGTTCGACATGCACAGCCTCGTGATGTACAAGAGGAAAGGCTTGAAACACAAGGTGTACAAGCAGTGGCATGGACCCGCTCGAGTCATTGGCAAAGATCTTCAAGGCTACTGGCTCATTCATCGCGGCTCGCCTATTTTGGCACATCCTCACAATTTGAGAAGAGCAATTGCAGAGGAACAAGAGTTGATGCTTGAAGATGATGACACACTACCAGCACGACCAGGTGGACAACAAGGATTCTTAGACCTCTCAAAACCTCAAGATCCCGTTGATCTTGACGATGATGAAGAAGATGCTAAGGCTGGAGACTATTCACCTACAGAACCTCCAGTTGATGACGGCGCAGCAGCAGAAAGACCTACTCAAGGAGAAGAAGAGGAGATGGCACGGACATACCAAGATGAATGCACATCCAGTGGTGATGAATCCCGCGAGGTCCGTGAGATGAAAAGAATTGCAAGACATGAGAAGAGGAAGAAAGAAGGTGAAGCAGAGGAGACAACAGAAGCAGCCGATGGTGATCAAGATGAAATTAAGAGGCTGAGGAGACCAAAGAAACCCGAGGAAAGTTCAAGCAAGAAGAGAAGGAAACGAAAGAAGAAGATGGAAGAGGCCAAAGAGCAACAGAATGTTGAGGAACAATCTGTTCCTCAAGGAAGTCAAGAAGAACCCTCGAGTATGCCATCAAGTTCCATTTTGGATGAAGAGCACAAAAGGAAACGTGATCTTCTACTTGATGACGTACCAGAATCCATTCGTGGAGTGATGAGACGAAGACTTGAGGACAAGGAGGTGGACTCATCTGGTGGAGTTGAGATGTCCGCAGAGGAGAAAGAAACAATGTGTGTGGCATTCCTTGCAGAGAGGATGGACACCTACACCAAAAGGAACAAGCGCACGGAGCTCAACCCTCAGAAGATGAAGTCACAGCTTCCACAGTTCACAGACAAAGAGATCGAGGAAGCTATGCAAAAGGCTGTGGAGAAGGAAATTGGCACATGGCAACGCTTTGATGCCATCGACATCGTGCCTCCGGATGAAAGCAAACAAATCCGGAAAGAAAGCCCGGAGAAAGTGATTTCCTCCAGAGGCGTTTGGACAAAGAAGGATGATGAAAAGAGAGATGAAAATGAAAAGGAAGAGCTTGTGCTGAAGTGCAGGGTCGTTGGCAGAGGCTTTCAAGAAGAGTACGACGAGAACCTCCGTCGTGATTCGCCAACGTGCTCTACATTATTAGTTCAGGTCATTTGCAGCCTGGCATCATCAAGGCTGATGAAGTTGACAGCAGCTGATGTCAGAGGAGCCTTTTTGCAAGGGCTGAAGATTGACCGTGAGCTGTACTTTGAGCCTCCAAAGAATCTTGGAAAGGCTCAGATTCCAGGAGTGCAGCCAGGTGCCTTGCTCAAACTCAAGAAATCCATCTACGGCGTGAACGATGCCGCAAGGCAGTGGTATCATTCCATCAAGGGAATCCTCCTTCGTTTGGGCTGGGAAAGCTTGACATTCGAGCTTGCCGGTTTCGTGCTTCGTGACCCAGCTTCAAAAGAAGTGATAGCCATTTTGGCTTTACATGTTGACGATGTCCTCATTGCGTGGGATGAGAAGAAATATCCCGAAGAATGCAAGAAGATGCAAGAACAAATGCAGAAAGAAGTTGAATGGGGACAATGGAGGACTGATGGAACTTTGAAGTTCTGCGGCAGATCCTATCATCAGGATGAGGATGGGACAATCCATGTTCATGCTCAGGAGTATGTGGAGAACATGAGTACCTATAAAGTCAGTCGAGAACGTGGCAAAGACAACAATGCAAAGCTGACTCCAAGCGAAACCAAAGCATTTCGAGGACTACTTGGTCAGTTGCAGTGGTTCGCCCGGATCATGGGGTACTCCATTGGGTACCAAGTCAGCAAGCTTGCCAGCGAAATCAAGGATTTGAGAATGTCAAGTCTCAAAGAAGCATCAAAGCTGGTGAGAGAAGTCAAACAATACCATCAAGAAGAGGAGCTCATTGTTAGACCAGGCATGGCTTGGCAACCGGAAGACATTGCAGTGGTAGCAGTCCATGATGCATCCTTCAACAATCTTCCAGGTCACAAGAGCCAAAAGGGATATTGGCTGGGCATTTCAACCCCAGAGTTGATCAAGGATCGAACGAAGGTACACCGCATCCATTTTGTTCATTGGACATCATCCAAGATACAAAGGGTGGTGCGATCGACCTTGAGCGCCGAAGCTTATTCCTGCTCAGAAGCTCTGGATGCCCTCAGTTGGTTGAGAGCGACCATTTTGGAAGTGTTGCATGGAGATTTGGACATGCGTCACTACAAGGAGCATTTGCATCGTGTGCCAGGTGTCACGGTGACAGATTGCAGATCCCTATATGATTGCATGAAGTCAGAGCGTGTGTTGCTTTCTGATCGCAGGTTGTCTTTAGAGGCTGCAATCATCCGACAAAGCTTGCAAGAAGGTGTTGAATGCAAGTGGGTGCCATCAGAGCAACAACTGGCAGATGCATTGACAAAAGCGCTTCATCGAAAAGGCTTGGCTTATTTGAACGATGTGCTCTACTCCAACAAGTGGACACTTGGCCCAGATCCAAGATTGCCAGAGACATCGAGGAGCCGGAAGTTGGAAAGCCCAGAAGAAAAGCCAAAGCCAGAAAAGGTGAACAGCCATGAAGAAGCCGAGATGATCAACCAGAAGCCGATTGAACTTGAGGAGAATGAAAGTTCAGCAAGCCCCAACAGGACAACCCATACATCCACAAGTCCCGGAGTAAGTGCGAAGTCCGTACTGATGATTTCATTTGCGCAGCAGTTCCTCCCTACAAATGCCGAGCCGGACGTGAGGACGATCCTGCCCCAGTTTCCATGGGAGTTGATGTTTGCGTGCGTGATCATTGTGCTGACAGGTCTCTTTTGGTACAACACAACTTACTACACGGAACGGTTTTTGTGGTATGAGGACCTTGCATTATACAAACAAGGTGCACTTGTTTCTTTCACAACAATGCTGGTGGTCGTGCTCGGGTTGAAGACAACAGTTTCACAGAATTCAGAATGTTTGATGTTGATGTGGGGTGGAATGGTGATCATGATAGTGTTGCTGGTGAAAAGACTTGACATCAACGATCTTTACCCTTTTGGGCCAAGAACGCAAGAAAACCCAGGAGCTGATTCATGCAGGTATGTCACAAATGTCCAATGAAAACAACATCATGCTGACAGGGATGGACCGCATGAAGCATGCCATCAACGAGGATTTCAAGAAAGTCTCAGCGTTCATTGGTGACAGCAACCGATTCACCTATCAGAAAATGGATGACATTGCAGAAGAAAGCAATTTCAGAATCACAAAAGTCATTGACAGGCTGATCAGGATTGAATACAAACAAGAACGACAAGAAGTAAGAGCTCTGGATTTAGAGAAACGTCTGAAGCAAAAGAAAAGGCATCGGACCCCATCCATGAGTTCAGATGAGAAACGAGCAATCCTGTTGAAAAGGCAGGACAGAAGAGAAGCCCCAGGGACTCCAACGGAGTCAGAAGTCATGAGCATGCTGGAAGACCCCGCAGTGCCGGAGTTATTTGTGGAGCCAGGAGCAGATGGTCGGCTGGCCCCGCATGAAGAAGATGAAAGTTTTGGTGAAGATCACGGAGATGATCATGAAGAACATCGTGATGAAGCAACAAAGAAGAACATCGGCGTGGACCAAGAAGCTTGGGAAAAGATGACAACAAAAGAACGAAAGTACTTTTTGCTGACAGTGATGTGGGAAGCAGCATGCGTGTACAAAGATGAAGAACACATCAACAGCATCAGCCAGCAAATGCAGGTACTTGCTGATGAGATCAACTCTGAAGCACTGGCAAATGTGTCAGGGGCAAGCAGCTCTCATCATGAAGTCCAGATGACGGCATGCGAAGTTCCACAGAATGTTGAGGAATGTAAAGAAGTAAAGCAGGACAGATGAAACTTCGCAAGCAGTCATGACAGGACCGCAAGACGGTACGTGACACGTCAACGACCGAACGTGTTGCGGCTCGAATCAGGCCTTGAGCCTATCGCGCGAGTCCAAAAAGGCTTGTGCGAGGGTTCATTCCGCTTTGCAATATATATATATATAAGGACAGCTACACTGTCATTCAAGGGGCTACTACCTTCCTCTCCACGTCGTCCAATCTATTTTCGGTGCGGCGGTGCGGTGGCTTAGCTGGCTCAGAGTCTGGCTCAGTTTGCACTCGATTTCGCGAGCTCCGAGTCCCAGGTGCCCAGAAGGGGATGTTCTTTTGGTCACGTCGTGTTGTCCCAGCAAAAGGAATGTAAAGGAAGGTTCTTTTGAATCTTGTGCTAGGCCATGGAGGGTCTAGGCAGCTACGGAGCTTCTGCCTGGTGCATGGAGTGGAGTCAAGTTTGCTTCTGAATGATGGCTAGCACACCTAAGGCTGCACGTCCAGCTGCTGCGGGGCAGCCGGCTATGCAGCAACTACCAAAGCATCTCATGCAGCAAGATAGTCATGCAGTGCAATGTGGCAAGTCATGATTCTGTGTAGTTTTCTGAGGTTTGGTCCCACTTTTCAGTATCCTTTTCTCTTGCTTTGGAATTCTCCACCCACCCCATTGCCTTCTTGTGAGGCACCTTCGGGATGACCTCGAGATCCAACAGCTATGTGACAGCACCTCAGAGATGACGGGTGAAGCATCTTCAGAATCTGACCATCACACCTTTATCATTTCAAATCCTTTCATAGTCTCTGTATGGGTCAAAACCCCTCAGCCCTGGTAGGTTCACATCCCCTGTCCATTCAACCGGGTTTTGACCCCCATCCGACTCATGGAAGACAGAGTTTCCCCACGTGCAGAACTGACAGGACCTTTATCAGTCCCAGCTGGCAGAGCTCAATGCATGCCATTCCCTGCTGACAGTTGTCCATGACTGAGACCAGATGAGAATGATGTATGCTGGTGAAACATGCGATGGCCTTTTCCATGCAAGGATCAGGAAAGACTCGCTACCATGCCCCGGTCTCGAATGATGCATGCGGCATTGAATATGTGCGTGTGTGTTTCGACTGTGTGTTTCTCATAGTTAAGTTTCCCTAAAAATCTAGGAACCAACTGAATAGTGCGAGTGCTTCTTCAAGGAAGCTCTCCCCCACTCTCAGGCGGCGGGAGCTTCCTTGAAGAAGTGTGAGCTATCCTGCGTCCATAGCGTATAGTAGCTTATTTGTAGCTACTAGCTACCGTTTGTCAACTATATAGCGTGATTCTGTTGCTTTTCCTCCACCACTCCCAAGGCTCGCACCATACGTCAATGCTTCCGGCGAGCTGGTCATGGAGGTGGATCTCAGAAGGGGCATTCTTTTCCTGGCGCTTTTCTCGTGTTTCACTGCCCCAGTTTGCTTCTTCGTTTGATTTCTACAGTTGGCGGACAGTGACGAACGTGAGCCCTTTGTATGCAAATGTTTTATCTGGAGGTGATGCGATTGTTATTTGTGAAGCGCGTGAGGCAAGACATACTGCTATAATAAGTTGAACCATGTTGAGCCTGTTTGTTGTCACGGCCAGTATGGTTGGGTATTGGGATAGCAGATAGCACGCATTCCCGGCTTTTTCTATCGGGGCCGTGTGCCTCAGTTCCGTTTTTGCTATATATTGTATAGAAGATGATTGGTTTCGCCAAGACATTCTACTGACAATTACTTCCTAGATGTAGTGATTGAACGTGATTGAAGTCTTTGCCTTGCTTGATCGCTAAGATCAAGGGTGACACAATGCATGGCCAGTTCCCGACACAACCAGCCACAACAGCAATGTACCTGTCAGCAAGATTCAGATTCGACTGCCTCATGCCACACTCTGCTGTTTTGTGGCTGGGCAGCCCCAAAGTAGCACGCCTTGCAAGACTTTTTACATGCATAGCTTCCACTGAACATGCAGAGCAGATTCCACCAATTCATACAAATGTACTGTAATAATATGTGCCAGGATGTTTACACGTTTTTTTTGATGTCATTTAGCCCGCTCTTGACAAGCTAGCTCGCTGGCAGGCTCCAGATCCTGACGTGATGCTTTTCAAACAGGGATTGGACTTGCGGCTGAAGGAATTTGAGGAAGACTGCAAGCGCATCCAGCAGCCTTTGCCTTGGGGAGGAAATCAGGGGCAAACAGATTGCAGGACACGTGATGCGACAAGATGGGAACACCAAGGACAGAGCAAAAGTTGCAGGACAAGATTGACAGTGCAGCCTCTGACTACGAGCAGGCTGCCGCCGGAAGCGCCAATCTAGTCTTAGCAACTATCCACCATAAAAGAGACCGAAATTGAAACTTGCATAGTGCATATTAGTTATATGAGCCACGGTCAAAACATGCGAAGACCACTTTAGTAAAGAGGGGTAGGTTTGTGCACAAAACCCTGCAAAACGATAAGGTCCACCTCAAAACCGATAACCCCAGCGCTGTATATGATCATAAGTATGCGACGAACTCAAAACACTGTAAAACGATAAGGTCCAACTCAAAACCGATGACGTCCATTTTTTTGTTGAAGAAGAATAAGGAGTTTTGACCGTCCCTCATATATAACTATCCTCGAGCCAAGTTTTGATGCAGGCGATCCATGGTATGGCCACTGCCACAGATGCCCGCATATTCAAACGTCTGAGAGAGCAGCAAAGACAGATCGAGCTGCAGCAACAGGACTTGATACTGTGCTTGATCATATCGACTTACCGACTCACCCAACAACCCTTGAAGGAGATCGACCAAATTCGCTTTGAAAAGGAAATCCTGCCGAGCACCCAATGGTTATGCTCAGTCTGTGACTGGTTTCACATGCAGTCTTTCTGGCAAGCTCGTAATTTCCAAGGCAAGAGGAGACAAAGCGACTGCGCGAGATTTCGCGAAGAGATGCCATGAGATCAAGGCAGCTTGAACAAGTCATAGCAAGCTTTGCAAAGCCGCTACAGTTAAGTTTCCCGAAAAATCTAGGAACCAAATGAATAGTGCGAGCGCTTCTTCAAGGAAGCCCGAGCTATCCTGCGTCCTAGGTAGTAGCTACTTAAGCTACTAGCTACCTGTAGCTTCTGCTAGCTGGTCCATTAAAAAACACTTTGCATATTCACATCGAGTCACATGATGTTCTTGTGATTTTTGAGCAACTTTGCAGGCAAGATGATCGACGCGATGTGCGGGGCTTCCCACAGCTTCATGCTGCATTTGATGCCAGCGGCTTGGAACGTTTGCTGAACGGAGACTATTTTGGAAAGCCAAACGCTGCTCTCAAGTGAGGCCAAAGTTCCTGTGCAACCATTGCCTGGGACAAGAGATCAGGCCTGAATCATATACTAGAATGTGAGCTAATGCACTCAGCGAACAGCATCATTTATCTTTCGCATGTCTGTACAATTGTATATAATATCATGTACAGTCTATTGGGGCACACGTAGTCTCGTGTCGTATCACTCCAAGTTCCAAGATCGCAACATACGGACCTGGAACGGATGCTAATACAATCAAACAACACATTCTGCACATGCAAACATACGATCAAACGTGGGAAGATTGAATAGAAAAGGTGTGGACATCTGGTCGAGAAAACCTGCTGCATCAGCAACACTGGACCACCGGCCGCATACCTGTATATACACACTTTGAATACCTGTAGCTTCTCCAAGCAGCACTGGAGGACTGTAGGAAAGGTGTTCAAAAGATCCTCCAAGAAAGTTTCAGAGTGCTCAGGAACTGCTGAGGTTTTCAGGCATTCAAAGCCCATATAGGGAGGCACTTTATGTGTTGACTCCAAAGTTTGTAAGTTGATTTCTTGCCACGGGTGTGAAGCATCGGAAAATCATAATCAAAGTAAGGAAAGACTTTGTCAAGGACTGTAAGGCTGCAAATTGCAAACCCACATGGCATCTTCGGATGTGCACGGGAATAAATTACATCTGGCACATGGGACCTTGTCGTACCAAATGTTCCATCGTTGTGCCTTGCTGGAGTGCGTGGCCTGGACTATTGATTTGAAAGAACTCTGCCAATTTACTCTACCCTTGCTGCCAAGACTACTGTACTTCAAAGGCACAGCATCTCTTATCTATTTGGAGCCACTTATCACACTTGTTCTGGTGCCAACTACATCCCAGAAACGGCATCCCAGAAATGGAAAGCCACTCATTTACTACACATATTACCAGTGTTGCAGTGCTTGCTCACAAGGCGGTGTACGGCGGTGTATAATTAATCAACGGGACCCTTGTCATGAGTGATGGACTTTGAGGTGTTATTTGGCGCGCGAAGATAACCTTCGGGCCTACTAGCATTGAGACCGAGATCGTAGCTCGTTTGTGAGATTGCTGCCATTCAAGAATGAGGTGGCTCTGATACAAAAATAGATGCCTTGCTGGCTCCTGTGGAATAGCTCGACTCGAATTTCTGCAAGTAGCCAGCCCGGCATCTTGAACCCTCGCTCGGGCAATGAGATTGGTATAGCGAAGGTTTGTTGAGCATTGCCATTCAGTACCACGTCCTTCGCAAAGCGAAGATGTTTCGAATGGTCGAAGTCAATCCTGCGACCTTCTGGCGAAAGCATGTTCGCTGCTGGCCGGCAGTGGACGCATGTCATCCGAACCAATGATACGTAGTGTACTTCACTTACAGTAAAGGCTTTTTTATTTAAAGTCTCTTGGTGACTTGCACTGTATTGCGCAGCATTTGCTAGGACTTTGATTTGACCACGAAAAGATTCATGCGCGGAGAGCCAGGTGACAAGAGGTAGCCAAACAACTTACACATCATAATCAAGTTGAACCAAGCCAGCCAGCCAGACAACTGACAACACCATCAACGCCTAGGTTGGAGAGGTACACTTGCAGTGATTGAACATAGTTTGGTCTACAGTCTACAACCCTGATTCCAGGGCCTACAGTTACGTCTTTGCTTTATGTGCCAATGTCTCAGAATTTTGCGAAAGAGGACTCCCAACTAAAGTCTTCAAGTTGTGGCATTCAAGTCCACGTGTTCACCAATGACCATGGCGGCCAGCATAGTTGGAGGTGTCCAAGGCTCGCATTTTCCAAGGATGACAACGATCCCAAACGATTTCTATATGTCAGAATGAAAGGATTTTGGAGGTGAACATAGAGTTTCCATGAGTTTCCAATCGAAAGACCTGGGCCTGTATTCGGCAGAGACCCTACCTGTGCGCTTCAGGTACCGTCAAGGCATGGATTGAGGAGAGAGGTATGGGCTTTATCCAGCCATCCGATGGCAGCGCAGATGTCTTTGTGCATCGGAGTGCCTTGATTGATGGGAATTCTTTACAAGTTGGCTCCAATGTGATCTTCGAACCTGGCTGGGATGAAGCCAAGAACAAGCCTGCGACCAACAAGTGTGGTGGAGCGATCACCCTTGATCCGGGCGTGAAGCCTGGTGGGAATGTGCCATTACCCAATGGAGTGCCTGGTACCGTGAAAGCATGGATAGAGGGCCGTGGGATGGGATTTATCACTCCTGCAGATGGGAGTGCAGATGTTTTTGTCCATCGAAGCAATTTAGTCGATGGAAACTGCTTGGTCACCGGGGCACAGGTGCTTTTTGAACCGGGTTGGGACAATCAGAAGGGCAAGCCTGTTGCAAATGCCGTGAGCGGAGCATCAACTAATCCGAACGGGCCACAAACTCCTGGTGCTATGAAAGGAGCTCAGAGTCAACGCTTGGCTATGGTGCCAAATGGCCAGCCTGGAGTGGTCAAGGCTTGGATCGAGGCACGAGGAATGGGATTCATTACTCCTGCTGATGGAAGCCCTGATGTCTTCGTACATCGAAGCAACTTAGTTGATGGCGATTCACTGGTGGTGGGAGCAGAAGTCCTTTTTGAATCTGGCTTTGACCAACAGAAGGGCAAGCCTATTGCAAAGGCTGGGTGAAAATCAAATAACATGTTGTGATATCCTACTGACACAATTCATTCACCGGCTGACTGTTGTCTCATATGGGACTTGTGCCCGTTTGCGGAGGTTTGTGCTGGTGCTGTTCAAGGCAACTTTTGGAAGTTTGCAGTTTCCAATACTTCTATTTACTAGGATCATCTACTATCTATCCATGTCCTTGTCATCTTGGAATGCAGGCTCTGAACAGAAAGCATAGTGCACAAGTAGTAATCAAGTAATGGCCAAACTCTCATCGGGCTACCCAATGGGGTCCAATTGTATGAGAGTATACACATGTATATATATTATACATATGATTTGACATCACATATTTTTTGAATACAAGAACTGTAGACTACAGTGTCTTGTGTATAAAACACTTACTAGTGTTGGAGAGTTGGAGTATCAATGGATGGACCTCGCTGATTTTTGCAAGGCCCGAACAGCGGTGGCATGGGCGGAAATGGAGGATTGCAGTCGGCCTCAGGAACCTTCAAAGTGACACGGCTGCAGAAAGGATGTCACATGATCAGAGTGACACGAGACACGAGACCGTATGTCGATGCATGATGTACTTTGTCCGCAATTGCTGTACACATTGGCTCCCATGCTACGATACACCTGAGTCAGCTTGAGAGGCAGAGAGCAGAGTCGAGTAGAGGGTGAAAGAAGATGCATCCAAGGTTTGGTTTCCAGACAAGGGATTTGGCTGCTTGGTGTGCGGAGGGCCGGACAGTCTAGGTAGTCTAGTAGACCTGAATCTGCAACAATGCAGTTCTTATCTTGCGAGACTTTGAGACTTCTTTCTCTGCACTGGTCAGAGCCAATTGGAACTACAAACCACGTGGTTTTCAGAATCTAAGGCTTCATCACTTTGGACAATGGAATGGGGGATGCCTTTGTGGGAAGCAGTGCCATCCCAGAGAGCATGGTACCTTCCCAGGGCCTTCCCATCGGCTGCTCCGTGCAATGGAACCATGACAAGCAGAAGTTCACCGCGGTGGAGGCCCATCATGATGAAAGCGTGAACATTACGTCTAGACGTTGATCCAAGTAGATGGAGATCATCGCATCTGTGAGTTCCAACAGGTCTTTGACCAAGCAAAAGGAAAGGGAAAAGGCAAAGGTGGTGGAGCACCACCAGGCCTGGACAGGCTGATGCCTTGGACGTGTTTAGTGTGTGTGTGTAACTCTCGGAGTCACAGCCAGCCTTTTGGCCTTTTAGCTCTTCATACGCTCCTAGGATATCATCAGGGACTCTTGATGACGTACCTGCTTGGATGCTACCGCTCATTTCCCAACCAGCCTTTGCTTCGGTTCTGCAATCGGCACTTGTCGCACTTTTTGTCGTTTCTCGATCGAATTGAGCTTCTTTAGATCAGATCTGGGCCTTTGAAACTTGACACTTCAGGATGGTCAGACCCCTTACATGCTTTGCTTTGGCAATTTTTCATCTGGGCATGAGGCTTTCAGATCGAACGAGCCATATATCTCAAGTGTGTTTGGCCTCGTGCCAGCCCGGAGTGAGCCCGAAGAGGGTCTCTTTCTCCCTGCTGGAGACGGAGGTGCTCGCAGCGAGCGTAGGAGCTTTAATGCAAGCGTCGACCAAGCAGGTTGTAGACCAGAACGGCGAGCGGAGGTGCCCGTCCAACGTGGCCGCAGCGGCCGTATGTTTGTTGGAGTCATTGGATCCCCGTCCCGCACTTAAGCGCGGCATGCCTACAAAGCTAACAAGGTGAGGTGCGACAAGTGAACTTATATAGGTTTGGTTTCTAGGTCAGGGTTCCCTTTTGATCGCATTCACACTTTCCTCCTCCTTTCTTTTCATTTCTTGTCGGTTTCTTTCTCTTTCTTGCGTCCGCATCCGTCCCGCCCTTAGTGTGTACGTGCACACTCTTTTACCAACTAAGTTTTAGGTGCCCCAGGTCGTTTACAATGAGGTCTGGCTCGCTGTTTTTTTCTTTTCATCTTGTTTTCTTGTCACCGCAGCTCGAAAGACACTGGTCCCTTTCATGTCCTTCCCTTCGCGCTTGTTCATCCGCTTTTGCTTGCGCGCACATGTGCTTTGCATCCACCTTTCCGAGCAGGATGGTGGCCGTCTCGCCCCCCTCGCTGGGGCGTGTGCATGTAACCCTCGGAGTCACAGGGAACCTTTTTGCCTTCTATGCACGGGGATGGAGAGGACGTATGACTATGAGGCTCCATCCAGCGAAGCTCCTCATACGCTCCTACGATATCATCATGGACTCCTGATGACGTACCTGCTTGGATGCTACCGCTCAATTTCCTTCTGGTCCCAGGTTTTAGCTAGAGCAAAATGCAAGCTCTTGCTTTGGTCCTGCAATTGGCACTTGTCGCACTTTTCTTTCTGGGCCTTTGGGATGGTCAGACCCCTTACATGCTTTGCTTGTCTTTGCTTAGGCATTTTTCACCTAGGCTTACGAGTGGTATGGGGCTTTCAGATCGAACGGGCCATATCCCGAGTGTGTGTGTGTGTATCCAACAGTGTACGACGCGTCGCCTTTTCCAAAACGACTGGACTAGCTTCCAAGAGAAGCTACAGGCAGCGTTTTTGAGGCCTCTCATAGGCAGAACTTTTGGAGTGAGTCAAAGAAAGTATGCCATCGACAGTTCATCCAGTTCATCCATGAAAAATTGACTTGGGCAACTCATCGTGCAGCTTGCAGGTGAAACGCCTTCTGACAACTGCTTCGTGACCGGACTTCCGCAGCCTGTCATTGATGCGTCGACGTCAACCCATTTTCAACCTATGTTCTTGCCCATTTCACATACAGTACATAGTGACTGGCAAAAATAGGATGTCATAGATGGATGGAAAAGAATGGAAGAAAGGTAGGACATCTAGGAATTAATAGGACAGACATGATGGAAAAGTAGACCAATAGTGAAGCACCAAGGGAAAACGGAAAGAAATGCATGGCATGCAAGAGGGAATCTCTAGAACAGGGCAGATGTGGGCAGATCACCGGAGGATACATTTTTGATCGTTTTTGAGAAACATGTAGGATATTCATTCACGTGCTGGTCAGGCTTACGTTTCTAAAAACTATTGAAACATATTGAAACACATGCGAACATAGGCAATGATTTGTTCAGTATAGCAAAGCCTGCATGAGTGTCATAGCCCAAATGGAACGGATGGATGGCTGATTACGTTGTGGGCCCAGAACTCGAGAAGAATCTTGGTGCACAGTCTACACAGTCTGCACAGTGTCACTTGAGTCACTGTTTTGATTCTCCACTCTGAGTGATAGGGCCTGATAGGGCTATAGTGCTGTCCTGCACACTACACAACGTTGGTGTCCTGTGGTCAGAAATCACTGATTTCATATCGGTGGCATTAGTAGAAGCTGAAACAAGCGCATCATGTGGCGGCTTCGCCTCTGACAACTCGACGATATGATGTGCTTATGCTCGGGCCTTACACAAGTGGCATGGCCTCAATTTTGGCCAACATACATGAAATGGCATGAAATGCCAGGTACGGACATTCTCAACCTGCCATGGGACAGACATTGACATGGTCCTGCAGTTGTATCCGCACTGGCGTTATACAGCATATTTCTGCTGCCAGTCACAAAAACCAGTCTCATAGAGACCTTCCTACGAAGCTGCATGGATAAGAGTGATATCACATGATATCACGCCCTTCTTTTGACACAGAACTTTGCAGGCGTTCTCCACGTCAGCTACGTACGACATGGTATGGCCCATCCGCAATGTTGCACGTGGCACGCTGCATGGTGGTACGGTGACACCTGTTTTGCAGCAGATCGTCTCAAGGATTGCGTGATTGTCACGTGGATTGATCCACACACCCACATGAGCGGCGGTGCCCTCTGGTCCTCATGCCGCTCATCAGGCTTTCGCAGAGCGCGATCTTGGAGGGGCACGGTTTGGCGCTTCAGGCAACTGCCGAACCTGACTTGGCTCCAAGACCTTTGCGACTTCATTTTGTGGCAAGCGGATACAAGCGGGCCATTTAGAGCAGATTGTGTTGTAATCTAGAATCTAGTGTGTATCTACTGCAATGGTTGAAAACAAGTTGCAGCAAGTTGCAACTCAGGGTGGATATCAACGAGGATAAGCTTCAAGAGCTTTTCTCTGCGTATGGCACCGTGGTAAGCTGCAAGGCTGGGTCCAGCAGGCTCCTACGCATCCCAAGGCTGGGTCCAAGTAGAACCGATGTTTGCCACCAGGTACTACCAGGTGAAGGGAGGCCTGACAGGGCAGCTATGATCCGCTTTGCTTCTGTGGACGAAGCGGCATGGATCGTGGAGAGGGTCATCCCAGCATGTTCTGAAACAACCAGATCTGGCTGTATGCAGTGATTGCCAGGTCACAGGGGAGACAATGGGCTTGCCGGGTCCTATAACAGTTGCGCGGTAAAAGATTGCACAGACATTCTACAGTTTTAGTAAAACTAGATCAGATGTCATATTCTTGTCATTTTTCACGGAATGCAAAGGTAAAGTTTGCAACTCCTAAGACTTCACAAGGACCTTGCATGAGTTGGTGACCGTTTCTGGTTGGGAGCCGTGCATGATTGCTGCATTCTTTGGTTTCCTCTCATCGCCACTTAGTCTTGCAAGGACCTGCCAAAGGATTTGGAGGAGGCAAGGGTGGTGGTGGAAGCTGTGGTGGTGGCGGTGGTGGCGGTGGTGGCTTTGGTCGCGGTGGCTATGGCACCAGCGGTGGATATTGTGCTGGCGGTGGCAATGGTGGCTGCGGCGGGTGTGGCGGCTGCGGCGGCTGCGGCGGATGCGGCGGCTGCAGTGGCTGCGGTGGCTGCGGTGGCTGCGGTGGCTGTGGAGGGTGTGGTGGCGGCGGCGGCGGCGGCTGTGGTGCTATGCCACTTCAGCCTGCCCGTGGAGTACAGGTTGCGCGACTGGGTGACTGGGTTGCAAATTCATGCGCAGGCTGCAACTATTTTTATTCAAGATTCAAGCAGAACGAATGCTTTGACAAGCCCCTCAAAAACAGGTTCACGCTGGGTGCTGTGTCTAACATTGACACACTGAGTGTTATATCCAGGCACAGTGAAAGCTGTCATGGCCAATAGACACTTGGCGTGCAAGAATTGTCGGATTCTACTGAGCCCTGATTCAGTTTCCCTAAAAAAACCTAGGAACCAAATCATTGTGTGTGCGAACATGAGCTATCCTGCGTCCTAGCTAGGAGTGCTTCCTATTGCTAGTAGCGAACTTCTCCCTTAATTAATTAAGTAGGCACCTACAGTACCTAATGAAGTAAGGAGGCAGGGCCACGGGCTAAACAATGACAAAAGAAAAGAAAAGAACACACAAGAAAAGATTGCATGGGATTCTTGAAATGCCAGGCTTGCTGGTGACCCCAAGCGAGGGTGGCCTTGATGTGAGTGTCCCGAAAGATCTGCTGCTTGACGGTGATCCGCAGGCTGCACGGTGTCCTCGATGTGAAATCTTAGGTACAGCCTTATCACAGTGCGAACAAACGAACATTGGACACTCACTTATCTATCTACTTAATCTACTTGTCTGACAGATTGGCGGGTTGGTGTCCTTCAGTGTTGACAGCAGTGGTGGCGATTATGGCAAAGCTGCCCCAGGAGGACAGGAGAAGTGAGCAGTAAGCAGAGCACTTCTGTGAATGAAGGTCCTTTCGTGCCTTTGCTTGCCACGTCTAAGTCTTCATGCGTCATACTTATGTATTTCATTGTCCATACTCATTGATAGACAGAAGAGTGAAGGGTCCGCAGCATGCTACTTTTGGCAGGTGGCATGAATAATCGCTTCTCTCCTTATGGCTGTGGTGGTATGGGTGGAAAGGGCAACAAAGTCACTTACTCAAACTTAGAGCTGTCTTCATGTCCTTGTTCTTGTTTTGTCGTTGTTGTTCAGTTTTACAATTGTAAGCAGCAGACTCTCTTGGTGCCATAAGGGTCTACAACAGCAGGGCATGCCACAGCAAGGTGTACAGCAGACTGGCATCGTGAAGGCATCGGGGTCGTAGCATCAGTGAGCAGGCTTTGATCGCAAGAACTCCAAAAACTTGTTTGAGTCCTCGAAAGCACTTTGAGCGCACATCGCTAGTAGTTTGGAGGCCATCGCTACTAGGTTGGAGGCCATCGCTTATAGGCTCAAAGTGCTTTACCAAACAGAATGCGTTGTTGTTGGGTCGCCGAAGTTTGGGAGTTGTTGTTGGTTGTCTCATGGTGAATATGCAAAGAAGTCACTGCCTTCAGGTCATTTTGAGATTTTGGAGGAGCTGTGAATATTCCTTAGTCAGTTTATGTATGTTTATTAAACTATGTTATATCCACGTCAAAGGCGCAAAAGAAGCACAGCAACTGAAAAGTAGAACCTGATGGCTCGTTCCTGGCCAGCCATTGTTCCATTTTTTGATAGCAACAACGGGTGCAACACCGCAAAGAACTGACCAGTGACAACTCGGCGGCACATGGGGTGGGGGCATCCTCGGCATGCCCTGCTGTAAGGGGATGGTGCTTTGCCCAGGATTGTCCAAAGGGAGGCAGGCAATCACCTGGAGCTGTTTATATCAGTGGCCTTGGCATGAAATGCTGGGTCCACCAACGCTGTGGATACAGGTTGAATGAGGCGGCTTAGATTGGTTTTGGGCCGGCTGCAGATGCTTAAGCAAAACAATCACGAGGCACAAACCAATCAAGGACACTTTTGCCTTTGGCACAACCCAACTGCTCACTTTTGAGCGCAAAAGGCAGGTGAGCAACGGCAGTATGAGCCTTTGCAAAAGCATCAGCGGCAGCATTGGCCTCCCAAGACCATTCTTTTGGCAAGAGTTCAGGTACCTACTGTAATTCTTGTGCTAATAGCAAGTTTTTGCTGTACATGCGACCAAGTGTACCACACTGCAATCTACGCGGCGATTCCCCACTTAGGGCAAAAGTATATACAATACTCACTTAGCTAAGATGGGTTGAGCATCCCACCGAGCCGAGAATGCTGAACACAGGCCTGGATGGAGAATAGAGGAATGGGCTTTATTCAGCCACATGATGGAAGTGCAGACCTATTTGTGCACCGCAGCTACTTGACAGATGGAGGACGATGGGAGTGAAGCCTGACTTGCCTGAATGCTCCAGAGACCAAGAATTAGAGGTTAGCAGATTGCCAATCCTGTTGCAGGATCCTTGATTGTTGGCTCGCAAGTCTCGTTTGTTTCGGATTATGATCCTTGGTTCACAACCGAGCATACAATCTTGCTGCATCAAGAGCGCTTCTTTTGCAATCCTATACATGTCTTTCAGAGCCTTCCTTGCCGCATGTAAGATCTAAGGACCCGCAGAAGGGAAAACCTGTCGCCAAGAATGTGATGGGTGCTGTGCCGCAGCCACCTCAATAAGCACCAGCTCAATGAGCGCGCCTCCATGCTGACGCAGTACATGGGCCCCAACCAAGGGGTGAACATCTCCCCGTCTGGGCAGTCAGTGCCACCAGCATTTGCTCCAAACGAGGTGAAAAGCAGTGATGTGACACGAGATAAGACAAGCATGCTGCATGTTTGGCTGTCTCACTCAGAGACCACGACAAGCTAATCCTTGCATAGTGATCAGAATGAGTTCGGCCAGCAGTGTGGTTCACAGCCATCTAGTGAGCCATGGTAGCAAGTTCGTTTGCAAATGCAACCAACTTGGATGTGTTCCCTAGCTGCGAATTTTGACACAGTGCTGCATGGGACGCTGGTGTCCATGGGCTTTAGCTAAGGCTGGAGTCAAAGACCTCTGCAGATGTGAATAGAGAAGAGGAGGTCTATGCTGTGAAGGAATCCCCACCCGGGCAGGCCAGTGTTGTGCTTAGAGAGATGAGTTTGAAGCGACGATGCCTCTTCTTCCACTCAACGCCCTGGCTCGAACTCCAAGGCTATTCGCTGCAAAGTTACGAGGACCTTTTTCCAGGGTTTCCTCTGCACGGTCTCCAGTTTTGACCGTCCAAGTGATCCAAATCCTCTCTTCGCTATTGGACCAGCACCAAGGCCAGCGGATCAACCTGGGCAGCCTGGGTTTGCAGAGGATGCTCCTCCTGAACTGATTCGAGCTGGGGCTTCAGCAAACTGACAGTCACGGAAGCGCATTTGTGCTAATATGGGTTTTGCAATGCTTCACAAGGCCATGAAAACAAACGATGGCGAAACCAGCGTCCTTTGTGTTGCCCTGAGTGAAATTCTTGTGTCCAAGACATGTGTGGTAGATTCGCGAATGTTTGCCCCCAAATTGGGCAAGTGAGGTGGAGCATCCCTGGGAGACAATCGAATCAGCTGCGGAGCCTGACTCTCAATTGGCTTTGTGATCCAAATGACGCTAGGTCCAATGGACGCTATTAGGTGGAGGCCTTCGCAAGTAGGTTGGAGGCCGTCGCTACTAGTAACAAGAAGCTACTAGGAAAAAGAAGCTACTAGGGGCTCCTGGCATCGCTACTAGGAACGCTACTAGCGGCTCCTGGCCGTACTCCTAGGAGCATTCTTACTACTAGTAACAAGAAGCTAATTTAAATATGAACGTGTGTGTCATGAGTCATGGGTGTCAGCTGTTCGCCAGGTACACTTGTTTGACGACCCTAAAAGTGGTGCTCCATATGTTGTGCCCCTTCAAGACACGGGTGGTCTTCTCAGCACAAGGGCCCAACCAAAGGCCCCTTAGGCCCCAACCGGCGTCTCAGAGTCATTGGCTTGGCTCATTGACCTTTCAGGTCGAGCATTGAAGGCGGTGATTCCTCAGGCAAAGGTGATTGAAGGAAATTGACGCTGGCTTGCATAGTCCTTAGTAACAAGGCCGCTACTAGGGGCTCCTGGCCTTACTACTAGGAACAAGAAGCTACTAGGGGCTCCTGGCCGTACTACTAGGAGCAAGTAGCTACTAGGATTCTTTGTGCTCAGAATTCGACCCCTCACTTCCAACACCAACACCTGACAGGAAGTTGGAGGTGCCGAGGATATGGCTGAGGACACAGGCTTCAATATATGTCAATATGCCTCAACTGCAAAATCTCTCCAGCTTGTTCACGAAATGATTAGGAAGTTGTTGCAGGTGAGTCCATAACTTCCCTCCAATCCTCAGGACCGGAATGTTTTTGCTAGGCAACTAGCAGACTGAAATGGACAACCAGCTGAATAGAGTTGCACACGTCAATGCTTGGTGGCTTGTAGGAGCCTTCTCGCTGTTTGTACCCGGTGGGCCTCAAGGTTTGCTCGAGACCTGTTTGACGAAGCCGCGGCAAAACAACGATGGTCCTTGCTCGTGTACGTGCTCCCTTTTGACGCTTCAACTTAACATCAATCTGTTATGGGCACCAAGACTAGCTGCTTGATGCGCTTTGATGAACTGTAAAACGCTTGGCTTTCTGTGGAACGAACGCTTGGAGACAGTTTCACCCTCTATCCAACTCGAGGTGCCGTGAAGTGGAAGACTCGTGCCAGGCAAAGAGACGACTTCAGAGTCCGGTCAGAAGATGGTCGAAGGTTCATGGACCGGAGGAACATTTGAAAGGCTTTCCTCTTTCTTTAAGGGGGAGTTTGTCCGGGATTGTCAGCAAAAAGCTTTTTGCTGAGTCATTGAGTGTAAAAGCTTCAGTCTCCCATAATTGTGAGAGGCAGCGCGCCTGTGCATTTCTGAGTGCAGCAGGAACATAAAAAAGATGGCACGTTTTTTGAGTTGCTTCCAAGTCTGCATGCGAATGATGAGAGAGTCTCAATTTGCCACACGTCGCAAGTCCCCGATGCATGTCACGAAAGGTAGCCTGGTAAGGGCTAACTTGAGTTTGCTTTGCGAAGCAAAGGGGTTAGCTTGAATAGCCTGCTCGGGACCAAATATTGATATATCAATTCTATTGACCCCAACCTCCAATGTGATGAATCATTGATAAATCACATATTTTGGTGACCCCGCCCCTCGCCAGCACCACTATCATCACCCACCTACCATAGCGTGACGTCCATTCACTGGCAGTAACAGCAGTGCCCCTACAATGAGGTTGCGCAGCATGGCTTCGACGCAGTGCGTGCAGCTCTTACACATGCCAGCGTTTCCACGCCACAATTTTTACGCAAGCCAGCGTTCACACACCACATTGCTCTACACAAACTAGCGTTGGCGCAACACAGCGTCTACGCAAAGCCGTGTTGACAAACCTCACCACACCACCACATGCTCTAGCAACTAACCTCTCCTCACGAACCAGGTCACTCTTATGCCGCGCGCGCGTGACATACGACCGCACTTGGCTTAGCACCAGGCAATTCTTACACACCACGGCTATCACATGCACCAGTGTTGACAAGCTCCCACGAGACCACACGTTGTAGTAGTAGCAATCCCTCTTCTTCGACATAAGTCCCTTCTCTCACACACCACACTTGATACAGCACCTCTCATATACTCCTGGTACCTCCGTGTTTCCCTGTCTCAAGTGAAAGCTGAGTGCTTGATGTGGCCTGTGGGACTTTTTGGCTCAGAAGGGTAGGTCTAGGGAGCACACAAGCTGCAGTAGGATCGTGACGTGCGAGACTTGGTTCGGCAAACTGGTGTGGATCATTCGCGACAATCGCATGTGATATTATGTTATTGTTGTTCGCGATGCTGCACAAGCTCTCAGAATATGTTTGTTCAATGTCTACCAGTAGTGCACTGCCAAAACAGCATGTCAGGATATGTCAGGCATATTTGTGCAAACCCTTTGGCCAGGCCATTGCAACCAGGCGAAACATGGCATACACCATGGACATGCAGGGGGACACGCCGCGCACTGAGCAACATAGAAGATAAAAGGAATGCAAGGGCCTCCCCAAGAAGCTCCTTTGTACGGGGGTCTTAATGCAGGGTGCAGGGCCCTTCCTTTTTTCACTTCTTAAAATGGTGTCTATACCAGGCAACGGCACTCGTTGAGTGCCTTTCAACTCCAAGAATCGCCTCTGAAAACCAGGCCTGGGCTTGTCGTGAGGAACACCTTCCTGGAGTACTCTGGGCGGGACTGGTGGCCAGTCTTCCACATTCTTTTGATTTCTTTAGTGCGTAACGGTGTGAGTGAGTGCTTTTTCTTGACATCAGGCTTGAGGTGCAACTTTTGAAACTGCTTGGACTTTTGTTTTGCTTCAAAACTCTTTTCCGTTCATTTTTTTCCGTTGGCAGGACCCATGCTTTGATTTTGAAGACAATCTGCGGATGGGCAGGACAGTTGACACAACAGGTTTACAAAAATGGCCGAGTCCCTTGTTTGGATGCTGCGGAGAGGTCCATCCACAGGCTAAGATACTTTAACGCTAGGTGTTCCGCCTCACGCTTGGGTAGAGGAAGACATGACCAGACAGGAGCTAGGTGCAGCTAGGTGTTTGCAAACTCCTATCTAATGAGTCTTCTCAATTTGCCTCCTTTATTCTACCTTCCTCCCAAACCTTCTTGTTGGCTTTGCCTGCATTAAATACATATATATACAATCATATACATATACATATATATATATATAATAAGTAGACATATATGCTGGAGAAAAGAGTGTACGCAGACGCTTGAACTTTACTCAGGGAAGGTGTGATTCCTACCGTACAAGGAGCAGGGCTTTCTCAGACATTTCGGACAACAAGTTGCCTTGGAAGGCATTCTTCGGGTTTTCATTCATTTCTTTGGATTGCCTTTCTTGGAAGGAGCATAGCTTCTTGAAAGAATTGTTGTCTTGTCCCTACATGTCCAGGTGCCAATCTCAAGTGGGGCTGACTCTGCTGGTCTCTTCCAGATTTCAAGGTGCGTCACGAGTGTGGAACCTTGCTTTCCCATGCTTTCCAGACAATTCCATTTCATGACCGATACACGTCCCACTTTTGCCCGTCAACAGCATTGATGAAGCTGTGGAGTCTCAAAGGCCAGTGTCAGATGTCAGCAGTACCGGCAGGAAGAGGATTGCATCTGAGCAAGAGGATTTGTTCATGAGTGGCTTGGACTTTTCTGCCAACGCCTCGGGTAGAATTGCACTCGGCCACTGACTCATATGAAGCAGACAATGACTCGCCGATCCAGGCTATGGAGGAGAATCCTGCAACAATTCCTCAAGAAGCAGGATCCCGGGCCAGCTGCTTTGCTTTTTTGCCTTGGCCGTGCTTGTAAAAACATTGGCTGTGGCATCCTGTTCCCTAGGTCCCGCCGCAGTTCCCAAATCTTCTGAACTTCAGGTGTGCTCAGATGTTGTGGATATTGTTGGTTCTTGAATGTTCTAGGAGCAAGGACGCTACTAGGGGCTCCTGGTCTTACTACTAGGAACAAGAAGCTACTAGTCACAAGGGCATCGCTACTAGGAGGAAGGACGCTACTTTCTTATTGTGACTTTGAGAGACTTTTGATTCCATGGCCAGTCCTTGCTCGAGCCTGATGCCTCAACTTGGCTATGGATTGCAAGAGACCTGAGATCTGAAGCAAATTTTCGCTGAAGAGAGAACGAAGGAGGCGTTCTTTAAACATACTTCGACTGACACATGTCCAAGTTGGCCGAATACGCAAGCGTGTTTCCGGATGCCAATGTTTGCTTCAATTTGGAGTAGTTCTGGAGACACCAAGGCTAGAATTAAATATATCAGACTGTACCTCTTGCTTAATTCTTACAAGGAGAGTTCTTTCAATGAAGCTTATTCTTTTGACGGCTGGGACAGAATGTGGCTTAGGCCTGATGTGGGAAATCCATGGCTCTTTGGGAGTGGTTTGTCTCCAACATGTGTGGGAAGCTTGAGAAAGAGATGTTACTTGTCATTTTTCAAGTACAATGAGGATATATGAACATATAGAATGACCACTTGAAGTCGTATTTCGATGCTTTCGAACGGAACGCACGTCTTGAGCAGTTCTTGGGATGCGGCACTTAGCCGGGCTTTGCACCATTTTCTAGGCAAATTTGCCGCCTTGGAATCTGTCCATGCCGCAGTCCAAGTGGTGCTGAGTTTGGAGCGACCAGGGACAATGATGTTGTTTGCACTTGTTGCGACGATCGCTTGGAAAGCTTTCCACCTTTTCCCAATGTGTCCGACCTTGATGCACTGTATCCGATCCTTTTCTTGTGCGTATGAAGGTTTCCACCTACCCCACCAAGCCTTGCCGCTGCGGCTGCATTGTGGAAGGAGCAGGCACAGGATCATGGGATTGGTTTGTGGCTCGGGTTACCGCATCGCACTTGCAAAGTGATGACTTTGCCCAGCTTGTCCTCCAGGGCATTCGTCATGGAAGCTTGAAGAAAGAAACCAGTGAGGTGGGAGACACAAAGAAGAAAGCGTTTTCAATACCTCGTAGAGGTATGACAATGATAATGTCCGTATGATCGGACCTCAGGTCCGAGCAAAGAAAAAGGTTCCTGAAAAGAAAGGCCCAAACCTCAGAAAAGAAAGGCGCTGAAGAACAGTGAGTCGTGAGTCGTTTCTGACACCATTGTGAGGCCAGAAAGATGGTGCCAGCTTGCCAGTTGGAGTCCAGGCATGTTCAGCAGAAGTTTTTTCATTCTTTATTTTTGGGATGTCGGCATGGGCCTCGCATGGAGCTCTCTGGACGTCACAACAGCTGATACAGTAGAGATCACAGGTTAGAGATGTTTAGAGTTTTCTTGCGATTTCAGACTAATCACTTCTTGTGACTTCAGTAAACACACGCAACCCGAGAAACGTTTGCAGGTTGCACTTGTCTGAACACATCAGCACTCAACAAGCGCACCACATCAATCAGCTTTAATTACTAGTGCATCGCTACTGGTAACAAGTGCATTACTACGAGTAACAAGGGCATTACTACTAGTAGCAAGAAGCTACTAGTAGTAATGCATCACTTTTACTGCCAGGCGAAGGCTGACAAAGTCCCGCAGCCAGAGCCATTGGGCGACCCGACCACTGTGATGCTTCGCCATATCCCAAACAGGTGCACCACGACACGTAATGCTGAAAAGTGACGCTTTAGCAATCATTTATATACACCATTTTCCGGTGTGGATGGGAAAGACTAAGAGGAAACTGACTCGAAAGAGCAGCTTCACAATAAATTCAATTCTTAGTTTGTGTCTATGCTGTGACTCAGATACACTTCTGCGCAGCTGGTTGAGCTGCTTGATGCCAAAGGCTTCCAGGCTTTGACCGTGTCATTTTGGATGAGCTGAGAAATGCAGCTGAAGTGTGCAGGCCAAATATGACTTTGTGTACCTACCCATCGATTTCCAGAACAAAGTAAACCTCGGGTGAGCCCATGTCGAGAGGTGTCCAAACCTGCGGGCAACACCGCCATCTCCTGCCTGCTTCAAATCACTGCTTTCGAGGTATTGTTTTGTGAATCTTCTTTCACACGAATGGGCTCTTCGCTTCAAGCAGGACCGAGACTACAGACATCAGACATCCGTGCCGAAACCCGACAAAAGCAAAGAACTGTGCCGAGATGGAGAAGTTCTGTGACAAACGCGTCGTGAAGCTTTTCGTCGTTTGAAGAGGAGTTTGAGGGCTTCACGGAATGGCTTTTTGATTCCGTCAAGGCAGTGGAGCAGTGCTTTTGTGCTCCGACAATCCAGAAGTCTGTTTGATATGCTTGGCTGCGGTTTCCTCCGACTCCCTCTCCTCAACTCTCTGTACTGTATAGATTGATTGATTCATTGATTGATTGAGATGCACGTTCCCACAGTCATGTGCTTCCTTGGTGCCGCCAAAACACTTACTGCTCAAGGCCAGTGAGGTGTCTTGGGTTCGGATCACAGTTTGTCGCTTGAGCGATATCAAGATCTATAAGTCAGCCTTTTGCTGCCCTTTGAGCTGAGGCCCATCCACATCAAGGTCTGAATGAGCACATTGAAAGGCCAGGAAAAATTGACAGTCCAAGAGAATATCCATTGGTATTATCGATGGATGCCTTTCACAGGTACCGAAACAGTCCTGTCCGTACCTGAGACTTGCTTCTTCAAAGCAAGCTCACCTTGCTTCGCTGGCAAATTAGGTGATGCACCCCAGCATGCCTTCAGAGCCTAGCTCCCGGCTGCCATTAACCACTTGAAGGATTCTTAGACTAGCAACGGCGTCCACGTTGAACTTGTAAGGTACAAGCCTCTGATTTTCAGCAACGGCGTCCACGTTCCGTTCCCGGCACCCACCAGGAGCTCGGAGTTGCGTCTTCCGGACTAGATGTCTAGGCCACATGACGTGAAGATATCAGTGATGTCCTTTGTTCCTAGTAGCTTCTTGCTCCTAGTAGTAAGGCCAGGAGCCCCTAGTAGCTTCTTGCTCCTAGTAGTAAGGCCAGGAGC